TAGTAGGATCCCCTCATAATGAGGACCCCCCATAAGATACCTCTAATTTCAGAAACCCCCATATCATCATTGCGCCTCTAGCCGAGTTGCAATGCGTGGAGGCGGCTTGTAGCGATACAAGTGGCTTCGCCCCAAGTCAACTTTGACACCCCTACTAGATTCAGCGCGACAAGGAGTCAACATGCTGCAAAACTTTGCCGAACACCCTAGAAGAATCTCTAAACTCCAACTACACTTCTTAAAAATCAAGTCGTAGCCCTAAACCCTAAACTCCAACTACACTTCTTAAACATCAACTCGTAGCCTAAACCCTAAACTCCAACTCCAACTACACCTCTCAAAAATCAACCCGTAGCCCCCAAACCCTAAACTCCAACTCCAACTACACCTCTCAAAAATCAACCCGTAGCCCAAACCCTAAACTCCAACTCCAACTACACCTCTCAAAAATCAACCCCGTAGCCCTAAACCCTAAACTCCAACCAGACCTCTCAAAAGTAAACCCTAAACCCTAAACCCTAAACCCTAAACCCTAAACCCTAAACCCCAAACCCCGAGGCGGCCATGCCTGGCTCCTTTGCCTTCTTGCTCACCTATTCAAGGTCTGCCTTGCCCACAGGGTCCGATCGGCCTACAGGGTTTAGGGTTTAGGGATTTTAGGGATTTTAGGGTTTTTAGGGTTTTTAGGGTTTTTAGGGTTGTTAGGGTTGTTAGGGTTTATAGGGTTTTTAGGGTTTATAGGGTTTATAGGGTTTATAGGGTTTATAGGGTTTATAGGGTTTAGGGTTTATAGGGTTTTTAGGGTTTTTAGGGTTGTTAGGGTTGTTGGGGTTGTTAGGGTTTATAGGGTTTATAGGGTTTATAGGAATTATAGGGTTTCTAGGGTTTATAGGGTTTATAGGGTCTATAGTCATAGTAGAAAGTAGAGTTTCTGTATTAGGAATTACTCTTATGGTTTGGGTAAGTGTCCCCGCAATAAAGTCGGGCTTCTATATGAGGAACTTGTGGGTTTACTTGGAGGCTTCATGGGTTCGTAGAAGTCGTAGGTTATCTGGTGGATAGGGCCTCAAGGTAACTCCACCCCTAGGGTTCAGGGTTTAAGGTTTAGGGCTTAGGGCTCAGGGCTTAGGGCTTAGGGCTTAGGGCTTCGGGCTTGGGGCTTAGGGCTTAGGGCTTAGGGCTTAGGGTTTAGGGTTTAGGGCTTAGGGTTTAGGGTTTAGGGTTACCCTTGAGCAGTAAGCCCTCAGCCCTGAGCCTTAAACAAGGGAGGGCAGCGTCAGGGCCCCAGATTTACCAAATACGGCATTCATAAGACCTTCTGAAGCCTTAATGGCCCCCCCCCCCCCCCCCCCCGCCCTTACTTCCCCTAAACCCTAAACCCGAAACCCGAAACCCTAAACCCTAAACCCTAAACCCTAAACCCTATCTTTGGATCCGTATTGTTTCAGGAAGGTTGTACAGTCTAATGCCGAGTCTTCTCCATTCTCCGCTACTGCTGAAAAGAGGGAACCCTGGTTTGAAGAGTTGTGTTAGGATTTAAGGTTTAGGGTTTAGGGTTTAGGGTTTAGGGTTTAGGGTTTAGGGTTTAGGGTTTAGAGTATGCATCGCACAAAAAGCCGCATGAGATTAGAACTAACCTATAGCTATCCGGCATACAACAACTGCAACAGCTGGGTTCTACGCGCTCTCGGGCCTGCGGCAAAAGCCATCCTAAACCCTGAACCCTAAACCCTGAACCCCAAACCCTAAACCCTAAACCCTAAACAACCCTCAACCCTGAACCCTAAACCCTAAACCCTGAACCCCAAATCGGAGGTGATAGTTGAAGAGCAGCTTTCACCCGTTTGAACCCAAAGCCCCAGAAACCGAACGTCTTGCAGCCATCAAGATGCAAACGCAAGCATTCTGTCTGCCTTCGGACATAAGGTTTAGGGTTTAGGGCCTGAACCCTCAGCGCCGTGTGAGAGGTCGCTACCTTTCGCGGAGCGGCCGGACTATGAGCGACTGCCGCTGGGCTGGGTTGAAGTTATAGAGTTCTTACGGGAGGGGGGTTCAAGGGGGGTATGTAACCCAATGTTCCCCAATACTCCCCACTACTCCCTAAAGCTCCCTAAGCTTCGCTAAGGCACCCTAGGTAACTACCCTTCCCTTAAGAACCCTACAGTGAATGCTCCAGGATGAAAACCCAAACAACCCCACTTTGATGGGTACTTAGAAGTAGGGCACCCTGAACCCTGAACCCTAAACCGAAACCCTAAACCCTAAACCCTAAACCCTAAACCCTAAACCCTAAACCCTAAACCCTAAACCCTAAGTAAACTTAACAGCTACCAGACCTGCCTAATCAGCACACATTGAGCCTCCAAGTCGTCTGCAATCTCGGAGCTGACCCTGGACTCAACCCACACTGGCCCCTATGCCGTAAAGCTTGCCTCACCTAGCACGAGAGTGGGAAGCCTAGGGGTTTGGGGTTTAGGATTTGCGGTTCAGGGCTTAGGGGTCTAGGATTTAGGACTTAGGGTTCAGGGTTTAGGGTTTAGGGTTTGGGACTTAGGGTCTAGACTTGTAGGGTTTAGGAGTAACCCTGTGCCAAAAAGGGGTGGCGAGTCCCGACTCTCGCCAAGCGATCTGGCCTTTGCCTTGAACCTGACTTGGTGTTTAGGGCTTCGGGCTTAGGGTGGGTCTCCAGGGTTTAGGGTTTAGGGTTTAGGGTTTAGGGTTTAGGGTTTAGGGTTTAGGGTTCAGGGTTTGGGGTTTGGGGTTTGGGGTTTAGGACTTAGGGCTCAGGGCTTAGGGTGTAGGGTGTAGGCTTTAGGCTTTTGCGTAAGCCTGGTAGCCCAGTGCATCCTTGTGATAGGGGAATCCTACTATTTTTGGAGGGGGTCTTTTTTAGGGGTCCCCTAGTCGTACACCCCCACATGATGATGGCTAGGAAACTTCCTGCGTAATTTAAGGTCGCATGTCTATCTCTCCAAGAAGGGTTCCAGGTGTTGTCGGGTTTAAGGCAAGTATAGGGTTGAGGGTTTCCCTAAGCCCTGTATACCCTGGGTTCAGGACTCAGGGCTGTTACAGAGGGTCGTCTTGACAAATTTCCGGTTACGCTCCGAGCCACTGCGGGCGTTGCCGTGCCAGGTCGCAGGTGTTCAGCAAGGCGCGAGTTTGATCTGAGGGTTCAGGGTTTTGGGTTCGTGTAGTGGCAGCTGTGCTTTAGTTTAATGCTTGTTGTCCTCGTTGTCGAAATGTTGCCAGTATTTATCCTGTATATGTCTGAGCGTTTCAGTGCTTAAGGTTTGGTTCCGCCAGGTGATGCTTGCTAGGATTGTTGCTTTCCCTGTTGTCTACGGGTAGTTACATGGTCCCGTACCTCCTTTAAAGGGTTCTGATGTATGGGCCCTGGGGTTGCCTAGGGTATAGAAGGGTATATGAGGGGTCCCCTCTTTTAAGGGCCCATGTTAAGGGACCATGCAACTACCCTTAGGTGTCGTGTTTTGTTGTACGTTTATTTGGGTCTACCACAAGTTGCGTGATCTACCGCAAGTTGGAGTCCCAGAGGGAGGAGTCCCTGAAATGGTCAAGAAACACATGCAATTTCGGGTTTCAGCAATCCCCCCCAACTCCTCCCCCCAGCCTCTCCCCCACCCCCAAAAAAAAGGGCCGAGCTAGAAGTTTTTCATGTGGGTACTGGAAAGTATGAGAAGTATGGTAGCCATGGTGAGAAGGCGTCATAGGCATGTACGAGGTAGTGGGCGTTTACAAGGTCCTCATAACCCTACACCCTACCCCCTAAACCCTAAACCCTAAACCCTGCTGTAAGTAGGCAGGAACCCACAAGTGATGTCCGAACCAAGCATTTCTCTTGCCCGGAGGGAGTCGGGGGGTGGCGGCGTTTAGGGTTCAGGGTTTAGGGTTTGGGGTTTAGGGTTTAATCTTCTTGTAGTCTGTTAGTCTTCGTTAGGGCATCCGTTAGAGCACAAAGGTGAAGTGGAGGGTCAGGTTTGTTGGATGAGGAAGTCGGAAGGTAGAATAGACAAACAGCCCTAAACCCTAAACCCTAAACCCTAAACCCTAAACCCTAAACCCTAAACCCTAAACCCTAAACCCTAACCCTAAACGACATCGAACCTTGGACTGCCGCTGGCATCTCGGCTGTAAGCTTCAACGCAGACAAGCTCGGCCACCCCTTACAGGCTTTGGACAGGTGTCTGCTCAGGATCAGAAAGCATCTGTGAACCCTAGCCTGCAAGGCGTTGTGCACGGTTTAGGGTTTAGGGTCCAGTGGCAAGAACCGGCTAGCAAGATAGAGCCAGCACCATGCAGTGACCATTCAACAACTTTGGGGCCTTCGACACACCCAGCGCATGCAACAGCAATGGATTTTACAGTGCGGCGTGCTTATGCCTGCCCAGTCTGCAGCGAATCCTTCATCAAATGGGGCCTTTGCCAATCCCACATCAATGCAAGCGCACAGTGTAGCACGGCCCTTGGGGATACGCTCCGGAGTGTGGCTTGGTAGCCCAGTGGTGATCTTTTCCCTTTTTTTCGTTTCAAGGTTCTCTTCTAAAGTAACTAAACCCTGAACCCTAAACCCTAAACCCTAAACCGGGTGTTATAATATGGTTTCTGGGCTACCAAGGTGGAGCAACTCCAGGAGATGTGCCGCGCTGCCGCCTCGGGTGAGGCTTCGGCCGCTTCAGCCGAAGCCACCGTGGGCAGCATGGCGGTCACCACCCTCACAACCGACACTGGGCTTAGGGGTTTAGGGTTTAGGGTTTAGGGTTTAGGGTTTAGGGTTTAGGGTTTAGGGTTTAGGGTTTAGGGTTTAGGGTTTAGGGCTACAATCAGGGAGCCTCAGAGTTCCGCTTGTAATCTCGGGTTTTTCAGAAAAGTCAGCCAAGGACGCAACTTCCGAGGTCCCCATGACCGGGGCTCCCTCCTACGAACCTTTGTCCACCGCCGCCCCTTCCTTCGATCCCGGGGTCGGGCCCTCCACCTTCGAACCTATGGCTCAGATGGCCCCGAACTACGACACTTACTTCGCCTTTAGGGGAACTTTAGACTTTTTGGGTTTCCTTGTTCAGTAGGAATATTAAGGCTTAGCCTTTTTTCCCCTTGGTTATTGGAGAAGTAAGGACATGAACGGGGTTGCAGCCACCACCTTCAACATGACTGGGGTCGCAGGCCCCACCTTCGAGCCCATGAATGGAATGATGCCTTCCACCTACGACAGCATGAATGGCGTATCGCCTGCCACCTTCGAGACCATGAATGGCATGATGCCTTCCACCTACGACATGAACGGGATGATGCCCCCCACCTTCGATGGCATGGGCGGGGTCGGGCCTGCCTTCGATGCCATGGGCGTCACTGCCCCGGGCTTCGATGGCATGATGCCTGCCCAGCTCAACGCCCAGATGAACGCCCAATTCAATTCCCAGATGAATTCTGGCTTGTGCTTTGGGAAGATTTTTAATTTAGCCCTTCCTTCCTTATAGGGGAACCTATTCATAGATAATCTTTTCAAAGGGACTAAACGCACAACTCAGGAATGCACAGGCCCAGATGCAGATGAATGCGCAGATGAATGCTCAGATGTCTGCCCTCCAGATGTCTGCCCAGGCCCAGCTGCAGATGCAATCGCAGCTGCAGCAGCAACAGCAGCAGCAGCAGCTGTCCCAGTACCTCTATCCCTCTTGGGAATTAGGTTCTTTCTTTTTGTTTATATAAAAGCCCAAGAGGATATTAACAATGTTATTGATGTTAAGGTTCTAAGGGGAGTGCAGGTACTCGCAACAAGAGATGGTGGCGCCGGCCACGCAGAGTGAGTTGAAAAGGGACGCCAAACCCTGGGGCTACTCCAAGGCCTTGTCGAAGGCCGTGTCCCAGGCGGTATCCCAACCCAAGGCACCACCCAAGGCCAAGGCCAAAACAGAAGCCAAGCAACCCGGCCCCGTGCCCAAAACGCAGCCGAAGGCGGCCGGGGCAGCCAAGGCTACGCCCAAGGCCCCGCCGAAAGCGGCACCCAAATCCGACGGAGTGATCAAGGACCTTGTGGACGCCACTCCAACCTACACCAAGCAAAAGGCCCCACCCCCACCACCTCTACCACAGTCCGAGACTTGGTAACCCAGTGGCTTTTTTTTTCTCTTTTGGTTTTGTTACGAAGCAACCCACCCAGCTCCGTCATTTATAAGATGGTAAACCCTAAACCCTAAACCCTAAACCCTAAACCCTAAACCCTAAACCCTAAACCTAAACCCAAGGAGACCAAGTCTGGCGGCTGTCCCACCTTAGACGTGCGCTCGGTGGCCCGGCTGCGTCGGGCGCTTCAGTGCGGCTACCTTACACTCATGGAGCCTTGGTGTGGGGGGTTTAGGGTTTAGGGTTTAGGGTTTAGGGTTTAGGGTTTAGGGTTTAGGGTTTAGGGTGTATAGTTTTAGGGGTTTAGGGTTTCGGGGTGTATAGGTTTAGGGTTTGTAGGTTTAGGGTTTCGGGTTTAGGGTTTTTTATTCCTTTTGCCTTTTTTGTTGGGTTTTTGGTTCCCTGCTATCTTCTTCAGTACCCAGCCCCCCCCGCCCCCCCCCCCCCCCCCCAAAAAAAAAAAAAAAAAAAACGTGTACCCTTATTGGAAGATGGCTACTGGGGCGACCTTAAGGCTACATCCCCCTTGGGAATTAGCATTTTTTGGTTTATAGTAAACCCAAGAGGATATTAAACATATTGTTTTTATCAAGGTCTAAGGGGAGCATGGAAGGAGCGCTCCACACTCTCGGAAAAGCTGGAGGAGCTCGCCGTCCAGCCTCCCATCAAGCAGCTGGCCACGGTGAAGAAGTTCCTAAGGAGCTGAATGAGTACACTTTACCACTTTTCTTGGGATACTCTAATCCCCTAGTAGAACCGAAACTGTACACTTTTCTTTGTGGGCTTATGAACTCAGCAACTAAGGTTCCTCAGCCCAAGCTACGAGGACTTTCGCTGGATCAGCAGCAAAGCCGAGTGGCTACAGCGCTGCCTCAACTACACCCGCACAGGGGGTGAGAGCCACAAGTCCAAACTCGTGTCGACCGCAGCCCGCGAGGGACTCAACAAGGCTTTGGCGTGTCACGGGCTCCAGGCCTTTGCCCTCGACGAGGGGCGCCTTGCCTTGAAGTCGGGCTCAACATGCAATACGCCAGGCTCTGGGGCGAGTTTCCAGGTTTTTCCCCCCAAGTTCTGCCAAGAGCCCAGGTGCTGGAACACCTTCGAGATGCTGCCACCACCTCTGCAAGAGAATGTGGTGAAAGCAGTTCATCACAGCTTCGCGGCTGCACTCGCCTCGTTGAGTCATCGTTGGGAGGCCCAAGGCCCTCTTAACTTACTTAGCCAACGGCTGAACTCTAGAAGAATCTTAGCCTTTGAATCCGTTGCTTATGGGAGAAGTAAGCCCTAAACCCTAAACCCTAAACCCTAAACCCTAAACCCTAAACCCTAAACCCTAAACCCTAAACCGCTGGTAATCAGAGTGCGTTCGGCTCGATCCGGTGCCCAGGCTTGTTTCTCTCTTCCACACTGAATCCGTCCGAGCACTTCGTGCACATCTGTGTGAACGAGGAGGCACGCGGCAGGATGACTGCTATTGAGGTTTAGGGTTTAGGGTTTAGGGTTTAGGGCTTAGGGTTTAGGGTTTAGGGTTTAGGGTTTTAGGAGCTTCAGGGTTTTCAGGATTGTGGGTCTAGATTTTAGAGTTGTCAGGGTGTACGGAGGTTTTTGTTTGTTTTGTTTTCCAAGCTTGCATTGTTGAAGAGGGTTCTTCAGGTAGGGGGTGTTCCAGGGGGTATGTAACCCAAGGCCCCCCAATACTCCCCGCTACTCCCGAAGGCTCCCGAGGCTTCCCATAAGGTTCTGTAGGTACCTGCCCCCCATAAACAATCCTAAGCCCTGAACCCCAAACCCTAAACCCTAAACACTAAACCCTAAACCCTAAACCCAGGTCATCTACAACTTGGTTCTGAATCCTCCACCGAAAGTCACTTGCCAGCAGCCGGCTGGTAGGGAAGCAGTGCTTGGTTGGGGTTGGGGTTTGGAGTCTCGGGTCTACAGGGTTTAGGGTTTCGGGTTGAGGGTCTCGGGTCTTTAGGGTTTAGGGTTTAGGGTTTAGGGCTAGGGTTTAGGGTTTAGGGTTGAGTGTTCAGCGGAGGATACAGAACCCTAAACCCCAAAAGGGTCGCTTTCAAGGCACACCCGCAGTTCCATGGGACAGGCAGGGCCTGAGCGATGGAGCGACGGATCTTTCATGCGTGCGGAGAGCTTTCATGGGCAGGTACTTGAAGGTTCATGGGTACTTAGAAGTAGGGTTTAGGATTCAGGGTTTAGGGTTTAGGGTTTAGGATTTAGGGCTTAGGTTTTACGAAGCCAGGTCCCGGCAGCAATGAGCCCGGTTGCAAAAGGGTTTAGGGTTCAGGTGCACTTCGAAGTAGGGTCCAAATAAGGTTAGCAAAAACCATAGGTACCCGATCTATATCCCCGCTTAAAAGTGCCCATCAAGCTCCAAGTAAGGCGCCGCACTGGGAGGTTCACGCGTACGAAGTGGAGCTATGAGAAGTAGGGAAGCTCTATCCTAGGTAGGATAAGGGGGACCCTTAAAAGGGAACCCCTTCTTAACCCTCTTCTGTTTCTCTTAAACAGGGACCTTATTCAGAGGGTCTATATCCCCAATTTGGGCTACCTATGGCCCTACACTTGGTATATCTATTTAGAGGATGCACTTTTTTGGCACATGACGCCCAGAGGGCACGCATGAAATCGCAAAACCCTAAATCCTAAAGCCTAAACCCTAAACCTTAAACCCTAAACCCTGACCTTCAGGCCGAATCGGTCCCTGTACAAGCTGCATGGGACTCCATGGACGACACCCTGTCACTTGCCAAACCTTGGATGGCGATGCAATCCTAGAAGTCGTTTTAAGGGCTTGCGGCCTGTTGAATATGTAAGGTTTCGTGCAACGTTCTTCTTGCCATGTTTATCGAGCATGTTTGCTGCTCTGAACTTTATCATTCTTGGTTTTGTTCAAAATTGATCTATCGGATCTATGGAGCAAAATGCACATGCGCGCTTTTTTTTTTTTTTGGGGGGGGGGGGAGGGTTTCCCCTTGTCTCGATGTTCAGAAATACACGTAACCATGTGTGTCTTTATATATATATAGGGTGTAGGGTTTAGGGTTTAGGGTTTAGGGTTTAGGGCTAGGGTTTAGGGTTTAGGCAGCATGGAGCAAGATTTGGCATCAAGCGATTAGAGATTTGTTTGTCCATTCGCCACGTGTGCCAGCGAAGCGTCTGCAAAGGATGGGAGTTGTGGGCTTTATTATCTGCACGGTGCTTAGGGTTTCGGGTTTAGGGTTTAGGGTTTAGGGTAGCCAGGCCTTGTTGTAAATCACACCCTTGCGACGTGGGATCTCAAGTGATTGCACCGAAAGTGGACATTCGCCTGTCCTTGAAGGAGTCTACTGTAGGGGTCCTTATAGGGGTCGGAATAATTTCCAATAATAGTATTCCCTTATGGTCCCTTTGTATTTATACTATAATCACCCTCAAAACGACGTTCTATTTACTAAGGCCCCTATATTATTCGAACCTCAGTCCATGCACCGAGGTACCACCAGCTACTGCAGCACATGCTCTTCCAGCACAGAAACTTGGTTTTTTTTTTTGGTGGCTGGCTCTTAGGACTTTAACTTTTTGGTTTTTGTAGAAACTACTATAAGGAGCCTAAAAGTTAAACTTTTATTAGGAGGGGTCCAGAAGTCAGCCAAGGAAATTCCGAAGACCGGTGTTTGCGGCAGCTAGCTGAGCATCTCAGCAGTGATTCAGACGCTTCATGGCTTTGGCGCGCTCGCGAGAAGGGTTGGGGATGCCAAAAGGTTCAGCAAAGACAGGCTTAGTCTGAGTTTCTTAGGGGCTGCTGGCAACGAGGCCGGCACAAAAGGTTTTGTAGCGTTCAGCTTTTAAGGGTTTAGGGCTCATGTGCACAGATAGCTGCGGGCCACATTGGGCATGCAGCAAATCTTAGGAAAGCTCCGCCATCACTGCTGTGTAAGGCGTGAGCTCTGTTCATACTCACCCCGCTTCTTAGGGCGGCACGAACAAACAAAACAACACCTGGAGAGCAAGAGGGTTTAGGGTTTAGGTTTGGCTCCATTTCTCGGGTGCCTCTTGTGGGAGTTGTGCGATGATGTTGATGCGTTCGCTACCTCGAACAGGGAACCACAATTGAGGATCTGGGTAGCCAGAAACCAAAGCACCCAGGACCCTGAACGCGAAAACCCTGAACCCTCGTCAGGAATGGTGCACCCACGCCCGGACAGCCAAACAGCCTCCTATATGCTGCTCGGCGCGTTTTTCTGTTTCATTCCCCACCCTCGGTGTGGGGTTGTTAGATTTTAAACTCAACTCTTCTCCTCGCCCGGAACTCTTCTCCACGCCAGGTCTACTCCCTCGAGTACCCAACCCCAGAGTGTCCCTTGGAGTGCCCAGCCCCAGAGTCGCTGGAGTGCCCAACCCCAGAGTGTCCCTGAAGGGCCCAACCCATCTCTACCCGGAGAGGGTGGGGATGTTCGAAGTAGACCAATTTGTTTGTTGAGAGGGGGGCGGGGGTTCTCGAAAGTGGAAAGCCAGCCGAACGGATAGGACTTGGTAGCCCCGTGGTGCCCTTTCCCCTTTTTTTGGTTCAATTAGGGCTTAGGGTTTAGGGTTCAGGGTTGGGTTCCCTTATGAAGTAGCCAACCCTAAAAAAGGGGTGCCCTTGTTATCATATGCTAAACGGCTTTGGGGTTTTCGGGGGGCTTTAGAGATATTATTTGGTCCTTAATTAGTAGGGATTACAATATCCCCAGCTAGAATTCCTATTAAGGACTGTCCCTAAACCCTAAACCCTAAACTCTAAACCCTAAACTCTAAATTAGTAAAAGGGGGAACATCCAAAGAAAGTCTGTTCGCCATGTGAAAGAATGGGCCATTTGAGGGCTGGATGTCTTACTGTTGGGGTTTAGGGTTAAGGGTTTAGGGTGTAAGGGCTTATGGTTTAGGATGTTTTGCGTTTCGGGCTTCCCTAGACACTAAGAACGTTCCAAGGCCCTAGAAACCCTGAACCCTGACTTGTTCCTTGGGACTCGGGCTCAGGGCTCACCATTGACCAGGGGCGGCTCGGTTTAGGGTTTAGGGTTTAGGGTTTAGGGTTTAGGGTTTAGGGTTTAGGGTTGAGGGTTTAGGGTTTAGGGTTTAGGGTTTAGGGTTTAGGGTTTAGGGTTTAGGGTTTAGGGGTTAAATGATGCAGGGTTTGCGTGCAGGTTCACATGGCCACCGCAGACGAGCGGATGAAGGGATCTGCCGAGGCCAGCTTGGACAAGTTTAGGTTTTAGGGTTTAGGGTTTAGGGTTTGGGGTTTGGGGTTTAGGGTTTAGGGTTAGGGGTTCAGAGTTCAGGTTCATGGGTACTGGCAAATAGGGTTATAACAGTACAAAAGCAAGGCTTAAGTACCCGCTACCCTAAACCCTAAACCCTAAACATAAAGAAGCTTCAGACGAAGGAGGATTTGGGGTATAAGCCTTGGTGGCTCGCCTGAACCTGCTTTTGAGCAGAGGGGGCACCTAAACTCTATCTAAAACCCGAATGAACCCTAAACCCAAGGGACCCTGTTAGGGTTTAGGGTTTAGGGTTTGGGGTTTAGGGTTTGGGGTTTAGGGTTTAGGGTTTCAAGGTTTAGGGTAAGAGTGACTTCCCTTATAAAACGGTTTGCCTCCGTGTTATTGGCAGTACGCTTTGGTTTCCACCAGAGTCCCGGCCCTGACCTCCTAAACCCTGAGCTCTAGCCCTAAACCCTAAACCCCAGCCCTAAACCCTAAACCCTAAACCCTGAGCTCTAGCCCTAAACCCTAAACCCTAAACCCGAAGCCCCAAAAACACATGGCCGGACTGCGAGAGAGGTTTTCCTGTATGCATGCGCGGCTCTGCAGTGGGACCGCTGGCCCCAAACCCTAGAACTTCTAATTGCAAAGTACCCTAAACCCTAAACCCTAAACCCTAAGCTCTAAACCCTAAGCCCTAAGCCCTAAGCCCTAAGCCCTAAACCCTAAACCCTAAACCTAAGCCACCTAAAAAACAAGCAGCAATTGTGGGGGGAAATCAGGGACTAGAAGGGAGTGGCCCGGGACCTGAGAGTGAGCGTCGATGTCCGAGCATCCCCGAGGTTTAGAGTATCCTAGCCCTAAACCCTAAACCCTATAAACCCTAAACCAGGGTGTAGAGTTTAGGGATTAGGGTTAAGCCCCAAACCAGGGTGTCGAGTTTGCGGTTAAAGCCTAAATCAGGGTGTAGAGTGTAGGGTTCAACCCTCAACCAGGGTGTAGAGTTTAGGGTCTAGGGTTTAGGAACTGCAGCTTGCAGTTTAGGACTTCGTAGTAGAGTAGAAGACCTTGTACCTTTTTGAGGGTAATATAATCACCTTAAAACCCTAAACCCTAGATACTGGACAGCTGAGAGGAGGAAGGGAGCCTAAAGTCTAAGACCCGAGACCCCGCTGTTGACCCCAGGCCTCCCTTCCGCCCCTGCGTCTCAACATAACTTGAAGGTCCAAGGTTTAGGGTTTAGGGTTTAGGGTTTAGGGTTTCAGGGTACGTATAGGTAGGGTTATTAGTACCCGAAATAAGGTTCTAACCATAGATGCCCTACCTCTAATTCCACTTCTAAGCACCCATGAACCCTAAACCCTAAACCCTAAACCCTAAACCCTAAACCCTAAACTTCCAAGCAGAGGTGCTGTCTCTGCTCCACGCAGCGTCCGCCTGTGGTCTTGCTCGACTTTGCGCGCGGCTTCTAGGCCGAGAAAGCCTTAGGGTGTAGGTTTTCGGATTGAGGGTTTAGGGTTTAGGGGGCTATTTTGTTGCTCAATTTTGGCATAGGCTCAGGGTTTAGGGCTAAACTATTTTTGTTCTGACCTACCTACTTTGTGTTCCGGGCTATATGTATGCTTGTAATGAGAGGTGTAGCGGGGCCGGCTGAGGTTCCTTGCCGAGGGCTTGGGCGCCAGTGTGGCGTGGCGGCACTGGGGTTTAGGGTTTAGGGTTTGGGATTTAGGGTTTAGGACCCATTTTTGGCTCAGGGACAATCCGCAGACGATCCTTTTGAGCACCGCTCCAGTGGTGCGGTTCAGAGCATCAGAATAGCGTCGAAATACCCACCCCTAAGCCCTAAACCCTGCGACCCTCAACTACCCTAAACCCTAAACCCTAAACCCTAAACCCTAAACCCTAAACCCCAAACCCTAAACCCTAAAACCTCTCCTGACCTGTGATCTTTGCACCTTTGGCCCACTTCCCGAATCCCTTCTCCTACCTTTCAAAATACCCCCCCGCCCCCCCCGCAGAGACCCTACAGGTTTAGGGTTTAGGGTTTAGGGTTTAGGGTTTAGGGTTTAGGGTTTAGGGTTTACAGGGTGGGGCCCCCTAGTTATAAGTAGAGTTATAAGGGCCCTAAATTGGGTTATAAGGACCCTAAGTTAGGTTATAAGTCCCTTAACTACAGTTAGTATAGTAAGGGGGCCCCACCCTGTACAGGTAGAAGTAGTCTCACCTCCCCCGGAATCTTGAAACGACCCCAAAAGTATAGGGAGCTGATAAACTTTGCAAGGGAGGGAGCGGGAAATTTGAGGTTGGTCACCCTTGCAGTTCAGTTTCTTGCTTTGGGTGCTGTACCGATTTTCTGTCAACTGGAAAAAGGGAGGAGACAATTCAACCCCACATCCCCTAAAACCCTTGAAGCACTATGCCCCAAAACCCCAAGCCCCCTTACACCCTAATCCGCAAGCCGCCTAAGCCAGTGCGTGGCTAGGCGGGTGGCAAAGCAACCCTAAACCCCGTCCCTAAAACCTAAACCCTAAACCCTAAACCCTAAACCCTAAACCTCTCCTCCTTACCTCAGGAGCGTGCTGGTCATGAGTTGGCCACGCCTCTTCATCTGGCAGCGGGGCGGGGAGTGCTCATGGCGCGCAAGCCGAGGGCTGTAAGATGTAGGTTTGGGGTTTAGGGTTTAGGGTTTGGGGTTTGGGGTTTGGGGTTTGGGGTTTGGGGTTTAGGGTTTAGGGTTTAGGGTTAGGGTTTAGGGTTTAGGGCTTAGGGTTTAGGGTTTAGGGCTTATAAGGGAGCGAGAAAAAGCCATAAACCTCTCACCCTAAACCCTAAACCTGCTTGCTGGTTCACACCGCAGGCGCTCTCAGTTGCGCAAGGAATGTCAGACGGCGCTGAGTAAATCCTAAACCCTAAACCCTAAACCCTAAACCCTAAACCCTAAACCCTAAAGGTCCTTCTTTCCCTGTAGCAACCTCCAAGCCTAGCCCTAAACCCTAAACCCTGAACCCTAAACCCTGAACCCTAAACCCTAAACCCTCAACCCTAACAGTAGGAATTCGGGGTGGGGACCTTTCGGCGCCCCCATCTCTCAAGTGCCTGAACTCCCTCGACTTCCTTCCCACCCTGAGAAAGCGCCTCCCCAAACTCTCTAAGCCCTCAAGGGTTTAGGGTTTAGGGTTTAGGATAGGGTTTAGGGTTTAGGATTTAGGGTTTAGGGTTTAGGGTTTAGGGTTTAGGGTTTAGCATTTAGGGTTTAGGATTTAGGGTGGCTTCGCCGGGCGCCTATGAGGGCAAATCGCACTGCAGTCCCTCCTCAAAAAAAGGGTTTAGGGACCCCAAACCTTCTGTACTTCCGGTTTAAGGTTTTGGGCTTGGGGTTTTGGGACTTCTTTAAACAGCCTCAAAATTGGCACAAACATGCCCAGCTCCTTTCAATGCCCCAAGGCGCTCGAATCGGTCAAGGTCCTCCTCTATGCCAGAGCAGATGTCCTGGTGACGGCGCGGATCCCTGTGAGCCCATGTGAAATGTTCAGGTTTTAGAGGGTTCGGGTTCGGGGCCCTTTTTTTCATCAGCCCTAAAAACCCAAACTCCTCAAACCCCAACATGACTGTTTGGCAGGAGGTTCGGATCTTTTGGGGGGTCTGACACTCAGCGCACGAGGTCGGCTTAGGATTTGAGTGTTCCGGAGTTCGGGTTTAGGGTTTAGGGTTTAGGGTTTAGGGTTTAGGGTTGCGCCCTTGAGTGCGATTTTTGATTTTTTTTTCGTCGATGTCTGTCGCTCGGCAGGATAAGCAAGGCCGCACACCACTGCAACTTGGCCTTCCGAGGGGGCTGGAGTTGCTTGTGGCCTATGGAGGTCCTTCTTTCTCTTGTAGAAGCAACCTCCCAGCCTAGCCCTAAACCCTAAACCCTAAACCCTAAACCCTAAAACCTAAACCCTAAACCCTAAACCACTTCTTTCAAGTCTGGAAGGTTCATCGGCACTTAGACTTAGAAGTAGGGTTTGCAAGTCCCCGAACCAAATAAAGGCTTTCCCTGAACCCTTCAGGATGGGTCAGAATACGCCTCGAACCTCGTAAAAAGGCCCTGCAGAGGGTTGATTGTGGAGATTCTCAGGCCCAAGCCCTCTAGCCGCCTAAAAAGGCCCTTTGCAGGGTGGATTCGGGGGATTACAAGGCCTAATAGCCTTGAAACACTAAACCCTAAAACTCTTGAGAACCGTGTTGCCCCTCCACTTGTGGCAGTGCCGAGGCATTGAGGCCCAGTAGTGCCCCTACTTGAAGGCTCATGGGTACTTGACAAGCACAGGGTTTCGGGTTTAGGGTTTAGGTTTACGGTTTCGGGTTTAGGGCTAGATGAACCTCCAGGTATTCCAAAACCCTTAAGCCCTAAACAAACCTAACCCTGGAAAGCCTAAACCCTAAACCCTGAACCCTGAACGCTGAACCCTAAACCCTAAACCCTAAACCCTAAACCCTAAACCCTAAACCCTAAACCCTAAACCCTAAACCCTAAACCCTAAACCCTAAACCCTAAACCCTAAACCCTAAACCCTAAACCCCGCCCCGAGGTACTACGCGGCCACGGCGGCTCAGGAGGATGCCGCAACTCCAGCCCAGGAGGCACAGCACCAGCTGCAGCTGCAGGCGGGTTTGGGGCTTAGGGTTTAGGGTTTAGGGTTTAGGGTTGAGGGTTTAGGGTTTAGGGTTTAGGGTTTAGATTTAGGGTTTGGGGTTTAGGGTTTGAGTTTGGGGTTTAGGGTTTAGGGTGTAGGGTTTGCAGGTTCATGGGTACGTATAACAAGTCGGGTTATAAGTGCCCTAAGTAAGGTGAGAGCCATGTAGGAGCCTCCAGGTATTGGACCTTTGCATCCCTCATGATCAACCCTGGGAAGGGCCTTTTTGATAAGGGGGTTGTAGGGCATAGTAGCCCCATCCTGGTTGGGATGTAGGAAGGCTGAGCAGAAACAACTCCAAGCTTCAGGGCTCACCGTTGAAGTTTATAGAAGCTTGGGAAACAGGCTAGCTGTGGGAGCACGTAAGTCTGACCCCTAAGCCCTAAATCCTAAACCCCAAGCCCTAAACCCTAAACCCTACACCCTAAACGTGAGTCTGACCCTGCACATTTCCTTCCAAACACCGACCATCAGGTATGCCAGCAGCTCTTGAACAGCGTGCTGCGAGCGGTGACTTGACTCAAGGGACTCAAGGAGGGGCCCATATAAGTTAGGGGTTCAGGGTTTAGGGTATAGGGTTTTGGGTTTTGGGGGTTGTTCCGAGGCTACCTAGGTATAGAGGGACTATGTAAGGTGTACATAGGTGTTATATAGGGGAATAAGATTAAGCGTCCATTCTAGGGGTCCAAAAATCCCAGCAGTTGCTACCAGTCCCGTAAAAAATCCTTTTTTCGAAGCCAGCCTCTGCTGTTGTTTGTCCACGAAGTCTTCACTCTGAGTTAACGGCATCGTCTAGTCTTGCATGCAGTGGATCTCAATGTCCTGTGAGTGAACACGCGCTTTGTCCCGGCATGAACCCTGCACCCCTCGCGCAGGGCTAAGGCTTCAGGGTCTGGTGATCAAGAAAGCCTGAAATCCCTGAACCCCAAACCCCTTGTTCCCCCTAAGACCCTGAACCTCGAAACCCTAAACCCTTCACCCCTTCAGCCCCTGAACCCTCAAACCCCTAAACCCCTAAGACTCCCCTAAACCCCCTCTACCCCAACCTCCGCGAAAGCTACTAATTGCTTAAGAACCCTGAAAAAATATAAACATATTCTTCCTTAATAAGGTTGATCTTGGGAATATTTTTTGTTTCGGGATTCTTAAGCAAATAGTAGAAAGCCGGTGAGCTGAGGCACGAGAAGGCTCGGAGTGGGGCGAGGAGGAGAGTTCCGAGCTCGAGAAGTTCGCGGAGACAAAGCATCACTGGCCGCTTTTGCTCCCTGGCAGCATTGGTATTCCTGTATTGCAGTGCAATGTAATGTACGGTAAGGTAAGGTAAGGTAAGGTATGGTTATGCATGTAATGTATGTGTAGGGGCTTCGTTTTCGGGATTTTTGCTTTTAGGTGTTGGGCTATACGCGAAATTAACGGCTTTCGTTTGGACTTCACTTGCCCAGGTTGTTGGAGGCTAAGAGCTAGACAGCTAGACCGACAAGGAACAAAGGTCCCCGAACCTCACCCCAAGAGGTACCCCAAAATTTTCCCTGCTACATGTAGGTCTTACATCCTAAACCCTCAACCCTAAACCCTAAACCCTAGACCCTAAACCCTAAACCCTAAACCCTTTGGGGAGGCTTGCGTGGGGGGGGGGACCCTGCGAAAGGAACCTCTTGAAGCTCAACCAACGCCTTCGACGAATTGGAAAGCGGAACCCACTTGTTTTGGCCGAGTCCGGTCTGCACCGAAGGAGGGTTCAGGGTTTAGGGTTTAGGGTTTAGGGTTTAGGGTTTAGGGCTTAGGGTTTAGGGTTTAGGGTTTAGGGTTTAGGGGTTAGGGGTTAGGGGTTGTAGGGCTTAGGGTTTAGGGGTCATGCTGCTGGATGAAGTCCTTGGCACGCGCTTGAAGGTTCATGGGTACTTACTAGTATAGGGTTTAGGGTTTGGGGTTCGGGGTTCAGGGTTCAGGGTTCAGGGTTCAGGGTTTAGGGGGGGTTTTGTTTGTAGGGTTACTGTATACCCGTCAAGGAGAGACATGTACCGGGTAGATCTCAAGGCATAAGTGGGTTGATTTGCGCAGCTTGTGTGCTGAAACCGGAAGCTAGCAAAGCCTCAGGTTTAAGGTTTGAGGGATGAGGGTTCGGGACTTCAGGCTTACCCGAATGCCTAGTTACCAAACTAAACTGCTCGGCGTGTGCCTCAGGTCACGATGGAGAAAGCAGTGTGCTTCAGAGTCAGAGTATGTCAAACTTGCAGAATAGTGACAGACCCCATTTCCCACACTGTAAGCCCTAGCCCTTTCCTGAGCTGTAGAGGGCCCTAAACCCTAAACCCTAAACCCTGAACCCTAAACCCTACACCCTAAACCCTAAACCCTAAACCCTAAACCCTAAACCAAAATCCTAAACCCAAAGCCCTAAACCCGAAGACGGAAGCACTTGATCTCTTGGTGGCTCTGCTTGCTCAGCGGTTTTTTTTAGGCTTAATCAGCTAAAAGGGTGCCGTTCTATACCTACATGGGATTGAGGTTTAGAACATGAGCCCGCAAGCCCTAAACCCCAAACCCCAAACCCTAAACCCCAAACCCTAAACCTTAAACCCTAAACCCTAAACCCTAAACCCTAAACCCTAAACCCTAAACCCTAAACCCAAGGACAAGGTGATCCAGGGGATCTCCGAGTTGCAGTACGAGACGGCGACCTTGCTGCTGTCCTTCTTTGAAGACCCGCCAGACACGGCGGAACCCACGGAGCCTTTTTCCAACGTTGGGGGTTTAGGGTTTAGGGTTTAGGGTTTCGGGTTTAGGGTTTAGGGTTTAGGGTTTAGGGCTAGGGTGTAGGCAGGGTTTTGGGTTTGGGGTTTGGGGTTTCAGGATAATCTGGCGCCTGTGTCATGTAGGGTTGAGGGATGCCGAAGGAGCTCGTGGAAGGCTGCGTGGAGCTCTCTTTGCCTATGCGGGGGTTTAGGGTTTAGGGTTAGGGTTTGGGTTTAGGGTTTAGGGTTAGGTTTCGGGTTTAGGCTTTAGGGCTTAGGTTTCCGAAAATGAGGGTGCCGTTGTTTTTGGTTTTTTTTGTGGGGGCAGGGTCCCTTAAGAGGAGTCTATATTATTTGGGTTATGAGTACCCCATTTTTCGAGGTGCAACCCTTAGATGTTTTGAAACTGAACGTGTTCAGAAACAATTGCCGCAACGATTGAAGAATTTGCCGAAGCCATGGAACAATAGTTTGAAGAATTGCAACCCCCAAGCCCAAACAGTTTAAACAGTAGTTCTACCCAAGTCCGGGTGGTATATATATATATATACATATATATATAGATATAGATATATGTGTATATATATATATATATATACGATTTATTTTGTTGTTATTTATTTATTGGCTTCTTTATTTATTTATTGAATTATTGGTTTGCTTTTTTGATACATTTATTTATATGTATAACCACGACTTCTAGACAAACCCGAACTAGGACCCGCCAACAGCATCGAAGATCCCTGAACTCCTGAACCCATCGAGCCAAGGAGTGCCTGCTGAAGGTGCCAGATGAGGCAATGCCAATTGAGATGCAAGCTATTCTTGAGTCCGACCCTTGCGACGCAAGCATGAATCATCAGTCTCGCAGAATGCGTGTCAGGCTGAAAGAGCTTTCCGCGCTTGCCAGTTAAATGCCAAAACCTTGAGCAATGGACTCCTTGCTTAACCGCAGGTTAGCCACAGAGCAATAGTTATCAGCTTATCTAGGGTACGTATATCCCTTTTGATTAGTACTCCTAAACCCTAAACCCTAAACCCTAAACCCTAAACCCTAAACCCTAAACCCTAAACCCTAAACCCTAAACCCTAAACCCTACTTACAAGTAACCATGAACCTTCCAGTGCGCGCCAAGGACTTCATCCAGCAGCATGATCGGCTGCGACGTCAGGCGAACCGGATGCACAGGAGGTTCGGCCTCTCCAAGAGATGCCTAGATGCTTGGCTGCCCGTTTAGGGTTTAGGGTTTAGGGTTTAGGGTTCAGGGTTTAGGGTTTAGGGTTTAGGGTTTAGGGTTCAGGGTTTAGGGTTTAGGGTTTAGGGTTTTGGGGTCCCCTTTCTTGGCACCCAGATGAAGAAAAGAATGGGCCCCCACCCTTCTTTTGATCCTATCTTGGGCTCCTGAACCCTGAACCCTAAACCCTAAACCCTAAACCCTAAACCCCCTAGGATGTGTGGGTGAGCCTTCCCTTTGACGTCGCACAATTTGCCCTGACCCTCTTCGAGGTGGACCAGGCCGGCGCCGAGTTTTAGGGTTTAGGGTATAGGGTTTAGGGTTTAGGGTTTAGGGTGGGTTAGTGCTTAGGGTTTCCGGAGGTTTGCAGGAACATATCAGAAGTAAGGTTCTGAGTGCCTGCAAGAAGGTTGTGACTACAGTTGCCCTGAGTCTATCCCGACCACTTAGTGCCCATGAACTTCGAAGTAGGGCTTCGGGAAGCTAACAGGCGACACTGAGTCCGCAGGAGAGAGAGCGAGAGAGAGAGAGTGAGAGGCCATTTTGGCTCAAGTCGGAACCCACCCCCGGCTTGAGCCACACGCTGCCTCACTCTGGCCCAATACGAGAAGGGCCTACGGCCAGTGGGCGTTCAGTTTAGCGAGTGTCTCCCCCCTCCGTACTTAAGCCATGGCCTTGGGAGTCTGCCTTTGCAGCCGGCGAACGCACACAAACTCACTCTACAAGCCAGGCTCTTGAAACACAGGAGGCCGCGTATCAACATGCTCGATCCTGTTTGCAACTCTGGAACAGATAGTGGGGAAAACAAGCAAGCAATACGCCAGCCAACCCCTTCGAGGGGAAGGGTTTGCGTAGCCGGCCCACAGCTTGGGGGACATGGCGGAATGGCGAATTCAAGAGAGGGCCTCCTAAACCGCAGCAGGGGAAGGAAGGGGTGCCTGCTGTCACAATCCAACTCCTGAGATGCGCCGTCGCCAGCAGCAGCCTGTGGAGGGGCCTTGAATGAGCGCATGTTTTTTGGACTGCTGTTTTTGGCACAGGGGACCAAGAGGCCGGAAGGCCTTTGAGGTGAACTGTTTCGTGGAGGGTGACGGGGGCACTGGTGATGAGAATGCCAACAAGGAGGACCCGAGCCAGTAGAACCTCGAGTGGAAAACACAGCCGGGGGGACCACAGCCTGCACTTCCACGTCTGAGTATTCTCCGATAGCGATTCACTAGACAACTTCCAGAGGGGGCCCTCACAACGAGGCCACTGAGTCGAGGGTCCCAGCTTTCACCATGAGACAGAGCGGCGGGCCAGCTCGGCCGGGGCTTCCCTTCGGGGGGGGCCCTCTTCGCCGGGCAGAAGAAGAAGAAGGAGAAGAAGGAGAAGAGGAAGAAGAAGAAGAACAAGAAGAACAAGAAGAACAAGAAGAAGAAGAGAGAGTGAGAGAGGAGAGGAGAGAGAGAGAGAGAGAGAGAGAAAGAGTGAGTGAGTGAGAGGCTTTGGGTTTTCGGCCTCCAGTTTTTTAGGGTTTAGGGTTTTTTGGGTCTCATCAGGTGTAGGGTTGGCAGTTTTGGGCTTGGGCTCGAGGGTTTTTGTAGGTTTGGGTTTGAGGGTCTTGGGTTTTGGGTTTTTAGGGTTTCACAGTTTAGGGTCCGCGTAGGAGTTGAAGTCCTTTCAGCTCTAAACCGTATAAACCCTAACCTACTTCTGCGCCAGCCGACGGTTGAGGGGTTCATGCGTTTAGGTTTTCCAAAGCCATTCCGTGGTTGCCTGTTGCTTCTTAGGCGTTCAGAAGCCTTAAGCCCAATAGGATGTTTGGTTTCGGGTCTGGATGTACAAAAGAGGGTCTACCGTTTCACCCAAAACCCCCAAACCTCAAAACTAACTACACCCCAAGTACCCTTTCAGCGTACTCCCGAAAGCCCAACTCTACCCTCAACCCTAGATCCTATCAACCCTGGGCCCTGGACCCTAAACCCTAAACCCTAAACCCTAAACTTGCTTGGCCTAGGTTGCAGAGAATGTTTTTCGCGTCCCGGAGTCGGAGATGGAAGAGGAGGCGGCTGAGGAGGACGAGATCCAGATCATGAACGCTGCTGGGCAAACCTAGAATGGGTTTAGGGTTTAGGGTTTAGGGTTTAGGGCTTAAGGTTTAGGGTTTAGGGACAGCTGTTGCGTGGATCTTCACGCAGGCGCCGTCGCGTCCGAGACCGAACTTGAAGGTTCATAAAGACTTCTTGAAGGGTTTAGGGTTTAGGGTTTAGGGTTTAGGGTTTAGGGTTTAGGGTTTAGGGTTTAGGGTTTAGGGTGTACCCTTTTCCCTTTTTTGGGTTCAAGGTTCCCTCATAAAGCAACTAACCCAACAAATATGGTTACTGGGCTAGCAATCTTCTTAAAGGCAGGGTCTCTCTAGCGATAGTGGCTTCTGACCTTACTTGGAGGTTCATGGGTACCTATGAACAGGGTTGTAAGTACCTTAAGTAGGATTGAAACCATACACTACTGAAACCCCGCTCAGAGGTACCCGTGAACCTCCAAGTATGTATGGGGTACTTGTATAGCCCTACTTCTAAACCCTAAACCCTAAACCCTAAACCCTAAACCGCCACGAAAAAGCCTTCAGTCCTTCGTCTCTTCCAGGTCGGGGACGATCCGAATCGCATTGTGGGCACCATCCGCAAGTGGGACACGGAACGCGGGTTTGGCTTCATCGTCCAAAATCAGGAGGCCACAGAAGAGGCGGCCGAAGAAGACTACAAGGACATGGCCGGGGGGGGCGGGGGGGGCGCGTGGTCTTGCTAGCTTTGCGGGAGCCAGAATAACCTGAGGCGATTCCCTTCCTCCAAACCCTAAACCCTAAACCCTAACCCTAAACCCTAAACCCTTTTCCCTCAACCCTCAACCCTCAACCCTAAACCCTAAACCCTAACCCCCCCCCCCCCCCGGAAGCCACCCTGGGCCCCCCAACCTTAAGCCACTGTTGGGGCACCAATCTTCTCAAGCTCGTTTGGCGTTTAGGGTCCACTCAGTAGTAGAGTAGGTAGCCTCTTAACCTTTTTGGGTTAATATATATTCCCCAAATAGTCCCAAAGGTTAGCATTTAAAACCCCTAGATACTGGACAGCTAAGTCCAGGGCTAGGGTTTAGGCTCCAAGCCAGCTGAGGATGAGCAATCTGGTGTCGTTACCATGTAAGCAAAGATTGTTTTAATCTCTGTCATTCTAGGCTCGCATGTCAGACAAGCTGTTTGCGCATGTGTGCAGTAGTTGAGAGGTCTTCATCTGTCGGGGTGTTGGGAACCCCGTGTTCCCAACATAGGGGCAGGCGCAAGCTAGATTACATAGTACTCACATGGTGCTTACAAGTGCCTGCATATTGCTCACTGGGCTCTTGCATTGTGCTTACATCGTGCTTTCATGGTGCTTACATGGTCCTATCACATGGTACTTGCATTGCGCTTACATGTTGCTTACATGGTGCTTACATGGTCTTATCACATGGTACTTACATTGCGCTTGCATGGTGCTTACATGGTGCTTACACGGTGCTGACATTGTGCTTCCATCGTGCTTACATGGTGCTTACATGGTCCATACGCGGTGCTCACATAGCGCCTTTAGTTCTTATCACATGGTGCTTACATTGCGCTTACATTGCGCTTACATTGCGCTTACATGGTGCTTACATGGTGCTTACATTGTGCTGCTTCTTATGTCGCATGATGCTTACGTTGCGCTTACGTGGTGCTTATATCGTGCTTACATGCTGCCTACCTAGTATTCTCCTTCCGTACAACTTACATGGTACTTCCGATTTACAAATGATTCCCAGAGCGGTGACCTGCACCCAGCAAGACAGCACCAGTGCGTAGTCAAGCAATCTGACCTTGCATCATGTCCTCCAGTTCTGCCCCTTACATCCTGCTTATATGTATGTCTAGGCAGAGGTTGCCACAGAAGCAGGAAGTAAGGCCTTAGATCCTTGCCCCATGGAGCGGACGCTCCCTCACATCTGAACGACACCACTTTACTAGTCACCTGCGTCCTCCCTTGAGACAGACAGCCCCAAAGGGGGTTTGGAACTAGCAGTCTGGATGGTGCCACTTGTTGTGAGAGAGGGATGATCCAAAGACCGTGAGCTCTGAACCCTAAGCCCCAAAACCCACCTAAACCCGAAATCATAAACCCAAAACAAACCCTAAGCCAACATGCGGGCCGCACTGGAAGGACATTTTCGTCCACCGGACCAATCTCATGGGCTCCGCCCCAGGGGTGCACATCGACCTCCAGGAGGGGAGCAAGGCGATATGGGCTTTTTTTGGTCCCTTCGGAGTTTTGGTGGGTTTTAGGGTTTAGGGTTTAGGGTTTTGTGAGTTTGCTACTATTTTTTTTAAGAACCCTTAAAAAAAAAAACAGGTCTTCTTCCTTCTAAGGGAAATGTAGGATTATTGTTTTGTGTTTTTTTTGCGGTTCTTAAGCAAACAGTAGTTGAGGGTTTATGGTGACACCTCAGTACGACAGTACGCAGTACGACAAATGACCTTAGGATCCTTACGATGCTTCGAGATGCGTTTTAGGGTTAGGATCTAATGTTAGAGTCCCTTCAATAAACCCCCCCCCCCCCCAATCTTGTTTTGGTCCCCGGCGTTTGGAGGGGTGGAAAAAATGCGGGGTGTCAATTATGAGGATTCTGGGGGTCTGGTGTCTGGGGGTCGGGGGGGGCAGCTGTCAGGGTCTGCTTTGCTTTGTCTTGAAGGCTTCTGCTTGCTCTCTGCAGCAATGTCAGAAGACAAGCAAGGAATCTCAAACGAGATCTGCTTCTCTAAAGGCTGAGCCTTGGAGCTCTTTCAAGCCAGCTCAGCTGAAAAGTCTTCTCGGCAATGGAACTCTTAAGCCATTTTCAGTAAAAAATTCAATTCCTGGCCGGAAAAAATTTTACAAATACCATTATTATTATCACCGGACCCCCCTATATAGACTTGTTTACATACATCGGCCCGAAAACCTCCCGTAATGGAAAGTAGTCTTCGGCTGGGGCCCTCTGGCCCGGCGAATATTACTATTACCACCCCAATTTAAAAAGCGACTCTCACATTAGCGGTTAGGGTTTAGGGCTAGGGTTTACAGCTACCTATAAGTAGCGCTATACCCGAAATAAGGTTAAAACCAGAGTTGCACAACTGAGAAGTACCCTTCTGGAAGCTCCAAGTATATAAGAAGCCTTCGGGGAGCCTTGAACAGGCCTAGCGCAAAGTTTTCAGGATGGGTGTGTAGGGTTTAGGATTTTGGGGTCTAGGGTTTAGGGTGTAGGGCTCAGCAAGAAGCTTTCCACCCTGAAACCCTAATCCCCCTGCGTCCCCCTACATACCCTGAACCCTAAACCCTAAACCTGAGGACCCAAGTAACCCTAATCTCTAAACCCGAAACCCTGCAGGTGTCGTACTACCTTGGGATGCAGGATCAATCTGAGTACCTAAGTAACCCTCAACCCTAAACCCTTAAACCCTAAACCCCCCCCTAATCCCTAAACAACCTGGCAGGTGTCCTACTACCTTGGGATGCAGGATGGGAAGGCCCGGGCGCTTCAGGCGGCCATGATCGATGACGAGTTCTACGTGCACCAGATCCACCTCCAGAAGCTCATGTCGCCAACTTTTTCGGGGGGGGGGGGGGGGGGGGGGGGGGGGGGTAGGGTTTAGGGTTTAGGGTTTAGGGTTTAGGGTTTCGGGTTTAGGGTTTAGGGTTTAGGGTTTAGGGTTTAGGGTTTAGGGTTTAGGGTTTAGGGTTTAGGGTCTAGCGTTTAGGGTTTAGGGTTTAGGGTTGACCTGCAATTCCCCAGTATGCTTCAGGTGCTTTAGGGAGGGGGGTCTAACCGTTTTGGCTGCCACATGCCCCACAGCCAGAAGCCATTTGTCGCACATCTTCCCATGCCGCGCATTCGCAACAGGTCAGGTAACAAATCTCAAACTTTCAAGGTTAAGTTTTTGTTTTGTTTCGGGTGGCCGGCGGGGTGTTCCGGGCTCTATGCTTCTCGGTCGCAGTGTCTTCGTTTAGGGTTTAGCGCTTAAGAATCTCAACAAATCGCCCGGTCGTTGTCCGAAAGCTGAGGAAGAAGTTGGCGAAGAACAAGAACATGTCACCGAAGGACCCGGGTAGACTCCTCAATTGCCCGTAGTTTCAAATCGTGCTCCCGAAGACCAAAGCCCTAAACCCAATAAACCCTCTACACCCTCTTAACCCTAGCATGCTCCAAGAAGCCGACTGTGCGTGGAAGGGAAAGGCCCCCAAAAAGACTCTCGGGATTCAAACGGTTTAGGGTTTAGGGATGTTTAGGGTTTAGGGTTTAGGGTTTAGGGGTTTGGTTTAGGGTTTAGGGTTAAGCCTGAAAAAGCCGTGCGATGGGGCCCATAGTGGTCCCTTTTGTGGGGGGCTCGTTTGTGTTTGCTTTTTTGCGGGCTGAACGCACACAATCAGGGTCAAGATAGTGTTTTCAAGAGCAGCTTATGATAAACTCTAAATCCTTCACCTCTCAACCCTAACTCTAAAATCCCAAACCCTAAACCCTAGCCCTAAACCCTAAACCACAAAAGGAGAAGAAGGCGGCAAGGATCATGGAGATTGCGCAGTCAGAGGCCCACGAGCTCTCGCGGATGCTTCTGAAGCGCATCGCCAGCCCGCAAATTCAGGACATGGTGCACGAAAGGAGCCGGGTTTCAAAGTACCCTGAAGGTTTCGGGTTTAGGGTTTACCCTAAACCCTAAACCCTAAACCCTACACCCCAAACCCCAAGCCCTAAACCCTAAACCCCCGGTGTAGGGTTGAGAACTCAACCCCTGAAGTTGGCAAACAGGAGGCAGGACTTCGAGGCATCTTTTCGCTGCTGGGGTCTCCTCCGCTTCAACAATGCCCCTGGGGACTCATAAACTTGGAGGGTTTAGGGTTTAGGGGTTTAGGGTTTAGGGTTTGAGGTTTAGGGTTTAGGGTTTAGGGTTTAGGGATTAGGGTTAAGGGTTTAGGGTTTTAGGTAAGTAAGGTCATAAGTGGGGTGAATTATGGTTATAACATCATTTGGGGGTCTCCGAAGCACCTGTGAAGTTGCAGGTAGTATGGGGTAGCCGCTTACTTGGAGGTTCATGGTACTTATGAACCAATTGCAACTGTACTTCTGATCCACTTCTAAGCCCCTTAAGTGCCCGGTTATAAGCACACTTAAACTTACTTCGCCTTTAGTTGAACTTTATGCATTTTTGGTATTCCTTATTTAGTAGGAGCAGTAAGTTTAACCCTTTTCCCCTTGGTTATTGGAGAAGTATAAGTAAAAGTACAGTTATAATTGGTTAACAAGTACAAGGAACCTCCAAGTAGAAACCTCACCCAGGCCACCCCCGGGTTTTAGGGCTTTGGGATAGGGCTTAGGGTTTAGGGTTTAGGGTTTAGGGCTTAAACCTATCTAAACTCTGAGACCTCTAGAAACCTTAACAATTAATCCAAGCCATGCAACTGACCTTGGAATCCGGTCTTTCTATTGGCCTCTAACAAGCACCCGAAGTAGGTATTTCTGGTGTATCATCCTCACCCCCACCCCCCCCCCCCCCCCCCCCCCCCCCCCCACCCCCCCACGCAAAAGCCCCCGCAAAGGCTTATGGTTTAGGGGTTAGCGGCTTATTCCTTCTATTTTTGCTGAACAAATCCTCGGGACATTTGGCCGCCTAGGCCCAAAAGAGCCCAAAACCCCTGAAACCCCAAGCCTCGGGAAGCCCTAAACCCCAAACCCCCAAACCCTAAAACCCTAAACCCCAAACCCTAAACCCGAAACCCCAAACCCTAAACCCCAAACCCTAAACTCGAAACCCTAGACCCTAAACCCCAAACCCTAAACCCTAAACCCTATATCTGGCAACCGAGGTTAAGCGCGATGACGCCTTCTGGAAGAGGGAGCTTCCCGGCTCCGGGCTTCCGGAGGGACCTAGGGTTTAGGGTTTAGGGTTTAGGGTTTGGGGTTCAGCGTTCGGGGTTTGGGGGTCTGGGGAATTTCCGGCTGCCACAAGGAGGATGCTGAAGTCCCACAGCCTACGATCTTAGGGTAGTTACATGGTCCCGTAAATTAACGAAGGACCCCTTACATACCCCTCATATATCCTATAAAACTCAAGGGCCCATTCTTCAGAACCCTTTAACTTACTGGCTCAAAACCCAACTTTTCAACTTTTGGGCTTCTTATAAGGTAGTTTATTCTGCAAGTTTCAACTTTTATTTCCTTGGGTTTTGGGCCAGTAAGCTAAAGAAGGTACGGATCATATTAAGGGACCATTCAGCTGAGTCCAGGGTATCCCGGCACCCCGCGCGAGGACAACTGCGACCTAGGACCCTATGTACCTACAGTTTAGTAATATTAAGTATCCCTCCCCCCCCCCATTCAGTAGCCCTAAACCCTAAACCCTAAACCCTAAACCCCAAACCCTAAACCCTAAACCCTGTAGGTAACAAGGGGTCCCAGGGGAGGGCTTGTGAAGACCTACGAAGTCCTCCAGCTGCTGAGGATCGAGCGCCGGGTCGACGTCTTTGTGGACCAGGGGAGCACTCTGGTAGTCCAGCGGTGCCCTTTTCCCTTCTTTTTTTGGTTGGTTCTGGGTCTAGGGGTTTGGGGTTTGGGGTTAGGGTTTAGGGTTTTGGGTTTTGGGTTTTGGGTTTAGGGTTTGTGAAAGTAACCAACTCAAAAAAGGGGGAGCCTCTATGATGAAATGGTTATTGGGCTACGAAGGCACACCTCTGCAGAAGAAGGACTTCGACTTCCGCGTGCGCCGATTCCTGACCGAGTTTTGCATGAGGACTCCCGGGGTTTAGGGTTTAGGGTTTAGGGCTTAGGGCTTAGGGTTTAGGTTTAGGGTTTAGGGGGTCTGAGGGCATGTGGGCCTTGTGGCTTGTAGTGGGGCCTGTAGATTTCGCGTTCGAAGGGCTTGTGGAGTTTAGGGCTGTTTAGGGGGAGTAAGTGTGTATAGCAAAGGATTGACTGGGCCTTAGGGGCGTGCAGGAGAGTGTTTCGGAGGCTTTTTCCCGAATGGGACATACTTCTAACTTCCAACGGCCCATGATAAACCGAAGATAGGGCTTCCAACGATTCTAGCCGATAAACCAGCGAAACTGCAAAGCCTACCCCGAAATCGGCGGTTTAGGGATTGCAGTAGGGTTGAGGGGCCCAAAACCCTAAACCCCAAACCCTAAACCCTATATAAACCTTAAACCCTAAACCATAAACCCTAAACCCTAAACCCTAAACCCTAAACCCTAAACCCTAAACCCTAAACCCTAAACCCTAAACCCTAAACCCTAAACCCTAAACCCTAAACCCTAAACCCTAAACCCAAAGCAGCCTGTCGGGACAGGAGCAACGTGATACGAGTGAGCGAGGCTCTGGCTATGGTCAGTGCCTCGAACTGCCTGGTCCAGCAGCTCCCCCTCCTTTGTAGGGTTTAGGGTTTAGAGTTTAGGGTTTAGGGTTTAGGGTTTAGCCCAGATGCCCTAAACCCTAAACCCTTAGCCCTAAAGCCTTTCTTTGTTGTTTCCTGACTCTGAGACCAAAGCCAGGGGGGGTACCCTAAATCCCTTAAACTCCCGACTAAGAGCCTCGGAGAACTAGCGGTAACTAGCGCGCCCAGTTTTCAGGGGTGGCTCGGCATGCCCAAGCCCCAAATTTGGGGTTTAAGATTGAGAGCTCGCAGGCTTTCAGAACCCTAAACCCTAAACCCCAAACCCTAAACCCTGAACCCCCGTAGCCCTGCATGCCCTACGGAAACCTAAATCCTAAGCACTGATGAAGCACCCGAATCCCTGACTTCGTAGTAGAGTAGGTAACCTTTAACCTTGTGGGGGGAATATTATAATCACCTTATAATCCCAAAGGTTAACCTTTAGTTTCCCTGGTACTGGGCAGCTGAGCTAAGCACCAGACCAAGTAAGAGTATTAGCCTAAACCCTAAACCCTAAACCCTAAACCAGGTAAGAGTATCTCCGGAAAGAAGCGGGATGACGTCCAGACGTGGCCCGCCTACGTCGCGCCTCAGCCGCGCTGAGTCGGACAGCGCAGGATGGTCTAGGTTTTGCACTGCTTTTCAGGTCGGAGGTCGTACAGGGTGGGGCCCCCTTACTATACTAACTGTAGTTAAGGGACTTATAACCTAACTTAGGGTCCTTATAACCCAATTTAGGGCCCTTATAACTCTACTTATAACGAGGGGGCCCCACCCTGTAGGGCTCTTTTCTTTCTTTCTTTCTTTGGCGATTCAAGTCCTGAGGACGTAGCCCAAAATTCCATGCTGAATTCAGGTTTTAAGCCGTTTGCCCAGGCCCTCATGCCTGTAACACGAGGAACCCATCCCTGGAGCAGAAATCTGCGGACCCAGCCTATGCACAAAAAGGCAAACTGGTATAGCAGCGGCGCGAAAGCTCCATGAGCTACCACGACAGCCTGCAACTGCCACGCTCGAGAAGTCACATGTTAAAGCACAAGCTCGGGAAGGGCAGCAGGAGATGTACCCGGCCGGTCTGTCCGAAAAAACCGTCTCCATACTGAACCCTGAACCCGAGAGACAAAATCCCACGACTGTTGGGTTCACTCAGCGCTCGCAGAGGAGGAAACAGCGAAGTTGAGGTGGTTGCTGATGGTGTGGGAGCGTGGAAGCCTCAGCAACCAAGTTAATAAGCGTCGACCCCTTCATTGCCAGCCTCACTGCACCACTAACAGCGGTGACGCCTACTGGGCCCCACACCCCGCCTGGGTCCCACACACTAGGCTCAGACGCCAAGGCAGGGAGCAGGGAGGCTGTGGAATTGGCCGAGCCATCCCAAGCGAAGTTGGTCAGGCCATCCTGGATGATGTCTCGCATTGCCAGCCCCTCATTGGGCATCTTCACAAGGAGTTTTCCAAGCTGCTCAGCCTGCCCATTGAACGTCAGGACCTTGCAGAAAGAGTCGCTCGCAACACCAAAGGAGGAGCCGACGAGCGCGCCAGTGATCTTCTGGATTTTCCGACTGCTGCAGAGTCTACGGCGTGTCTTTCGAAAACATTGACCACACACGTCTCCAACAAAGACGCATGCCCAAACCCTCAGCTTGCTGGAACTTTGCCTCCAAGTTGTCGACATTGCTGTGGCCAAAGTCACTCAAGGAAGAAAAGAGACACCGCCCGCGATCCCTTGTGTCTGACGATGCCACAACCAGTGCACAAGTTCGGCCCAGGCAGGTGTGCATGGGCAACGATTCCCAACAGTGGCATAACTATCAATGCGCCGAGCGAGGCAGCAAAACTCTTCAGCAACAATCGTCGCCAACTTGCGGATGTCCGAGCGTCTCCCGACCAAGCTGACATTCAGACGAATCTGAAGGAGCCCCCTCAAAGCCCTGAGCGAAACAGCACCACGGGTAAGCAGCATTGCCATGACCTCAGGAATGTGCAGCTGAAGCACATCTTCACTAACGAGCAAAGCCTCCAGGTCGTTCCCCGATTCCACGAAGGGCCATTTGCATGGGGAACTGGGGCCAACAGCGATCTCTCTACCTCCTGCTGGTAGGAGTGTTCTGGGCCCTCGTAGGGCTCTAGGAATTAGTTTGTTTTAGATATATATATATATATATGCATACATACATCCCAAGGTTCTGATTAAGCCCAGAAGCTACACTGCACTCAGTGGTTTGGCACCTTTGGCTGTGCCACACCGGGTAGTTTAGGTGGCTTAGGGTTTAGGGTTTAGGGTTTAGCGTTTAGGGTTTAGGCCCCATAGCCGCATAGCCCACTATGCTCACCTGAAGCCCACTTCTTCACGACCTGGCCTGGACCCTTAGCCTTGTACGGGTTTAGGGTTTAGGGTTTCGAGTTTACAGGGTACCGAGGTTTCTCATTGAAAGGCACCACCCTGGCAAGAAAAGAATTGAAACCCAAACCCTTTAAACACCAAGCCCCAAGCCTCGAAAATCACACTAGAACCCAAAACCCTTCAAACCCTACCCCGCCCCGCGCGCCCCCCAACCCCCCCCCCCCCCCCCCAAAAAAAAACAAAAAAAAGGAGTGTTCTAAGGTTACCCTGCTCCGCAAGTTCGATCCGGAAGTGAACGCCTTCATTGCCAGCCGCGAAAGTCAGAACCCACGGCTTTCCAAGCAGGAAGCTGAAGACGTCAAGGCTGCCGGGGTCGCCAGGGTTTAGGGTTTAGGGTTTAGGGTTTAGGGTTTAGGGTTTAGGGTTTAGGGTTTAGGGTTTAGGGTTTAGGGTTTAGGGGAAGCTGAAGACGTCAAGGCTGCCTGGGCCTCCATAGCCTGCTTAACGGGTTCTACTTCCGTCTTGTTAAGTTGGAGTCCAAGGAAAGACAGACATGTAGAAAGCGTTTAGGGTTTAGGGTTATATATGCCTATATGTCCTAAACCCTAAGCCAACTCAGAAGTTCGTAAGAAACCCTCACTGGATATTCATATATACATGTATAAGAGTCCTGAAACGTCTAGGAGGACCAGCTTGCTGGTTTGGGAATGGGGGAATGAGGTACCCTACATCCCCCAAGATATACGATTTAAGGGATTCTATAGGGTAGCCTCATCCCCTCACCCTAAACCCTAAACCCTAAATCCTAAACCCTAAACCCTAAACCCTAAACCCTACTAAGAACCAGGGGGCCAGATGGGATTCCGAGGTTTTGGGGCTTAAACAGGGTTTTAGGACATGCGGTGCCCAGCTTACTTGCAGCAGAGCCTGGGTTGAAGAAAGGGTCTGGGGTTTAGGGTTTAGGGTTTAGGGTTTAGGGTTTAGGGTTTAGGGTTTAGGGTTTAGGGTTTAGGGTTTAGGGCGTAAAGCTGCCTCTTCCAGGACGACGAAGCAGATCCAGAAGAGGAGGAGGATGAATTGGACAGCGGCAGTGACTCCGAAGCTTACTTGGCCAATAGAAGAGCTTTAAACTGTTGGGGTTCCCTTCTTCTGTAGGAATAACAGAGTTAAAGCATTTTCATTCCTTGATTTTTGAAGAAGTAAAACTGCTGTGGCTTCCTTATTTTGTAGGAAGATCAAAAGTTTGCCCTAAACCCTAAACCCTAAACTTTTTTCCTTGGTTTTTGAAGAAGCAAGGATGATGGGGAAGACGCGGGCTCACTCAGCGACACCCTGGACACGCATCCCCTCGTAGATGGCAACGATTTCTGCTTCTGTATGTTGTTCTCTAAGTTAGGGCCTTCTTGAGGTTCCCTACACAATACGGCAGCCGCACACCAAGGACTTGAAAAGGGACCCCTAAGACTTAACATTGGAAATCTTCCCACATCAAGCCTCTCAATGCCCAGCACTGTGGTTTTGACCTTTCTGGACCTGAATATTCAACATTCTCATGGGCCATACGACTGATGTAATGTCTCAGGGGTTTCTGAGACCACTTGGGCTTTTGTTCACATGACTGCTCGAACTCGCTTCTGTACCCTACACCTGCAAACTCTGAAACCCTAAAGCCCAAACCCTGTAAATCCAAAACAACAACCATGTTGAACCATGTTGGTGTCAGTTCCACACAGACTTGTGTCAACAGCTTAGTTGACGATGAGGGCACTGTGTAGGACCAACGCGGCAGCTCTGAACAGGCTGCCGCGACAGCTTTTCTCTGGTTCGGTCTTGATGAATAGGGCTTCGGGTTTGGGGTTTTGAGGGACTAGGGTTTAGGGTTCAGGGTTTAGGGCTTAGGGAAGAGGGCTTCATCCAAGCAGTGGAGGAAGGAGTAAGTGTTCAAACATGGCACCCTTGGAGATCCAAGGGTTTAGGGTTTAGGGTTTAGGGTTTAGGGTTTAGGGTTTAGGGTTTAGGGTTAGGAAACGTAGTTGGTGCAGTTGCCCATTCTGACACAAGTTCAACAACATCACAGTCCAAGTTCGGTGTCTCACCCGTGTTACCCATACACCCTAAACCCTATAAACCCTATACACCCCATGAGCCGGGTAAACCCATAGTCAAAGGGTTTAGGGCTTAGGGTTTAGGGTTTAGGGTTTAGGGTTTATAGGGTTTAGGGTTTAGGGTTTAGGGTTAACCCCAGAAACGGTATAAACCCTACGGGGACCCCTTATATGCCCCTTGTTTACCCTACGCAGCCCAAGGGCCCATACGGCAGAACCCATGGGCCCATAGAACTACCCGGACGCCTTAAGGATGTACCCCTAAGAGGTTCCCTGAATATACTCCTAGTAGGGCCCTTACACTACCCACTACCCAACAAGGGTACCACTTTACGGGGTCTAAACCCTCAACCCTCAGCCCTCAACCCTAAACCCTAAACCCTAAACCCTAAACCCCCCCCCCCCCCCCCAAAGACCCAGGTACAACCAGGCGCCGGCCCAGAGCCCTGAACCGGACCAACCCCTGTCTGAAGAGGCTTCGGGATTCGCGTTCCAGTAAGCCACGATTTGCTTAAGAACCCCCCCAAAAAGAAGAAAAGATGATAACCCTTATATTCCCCTTTATCAGGACGTATATAGTCATCACTATACTATACCCTTATCAGGAAGGATATTTTTGCAACAGTTTTTTTGGGGGGTTCTTACGCAATGACCAGGAGCCCATTTTTGCAGCCAGAGACAAAAAGGAGCGGCTTAGGGAGGGTTGGTGGGGTTGAGGGTTTTTAGGGTTTAGGGGGTTTGGGGAGTTTAGGGTTTAGGGGGGTTTGGGGGGTTTAGGGTTTAGGGGGTTTGTGGGGTTAGGGTTTCGGCGGTTTAGGATTTAGGGGGTTTAGGGTTACTAAGGCGGACATCCAAATCCAAAGCAGGGTTTGGGGTTTAGGCTTTAGGCTTTCGGGGAAGGGGAGGAAGGGGGGAAGGTTGGTGGGGGCAGCGTGCTCTCTGTGATAGATTCGCTCTTCATCCACCCCTAGAAGCCCTGAACCCCCAAAATTGCAAGGTCTACAATAATGCACTAGTCTATACTATCAACCCGAAACCCTAAATCCCAAGCCCTAAGCCCTAAGCCCTAAACGATACGAAGAAGCTTTGTCATATGAAACCCTAAACCCTAAACCTCTCTTTCATATATAATGTAAATGTTAAGGAGTTACTGGGCAAGGTCGCCGTTTTACTGGGCAAGGTCAGTTCGGTCAAAAAAATCGACCTTGCCCAGTAAAACGGCGACCTTGCCCAGTAAAACGGCGACCTTCCGCCCCTTCGCCGTTTTACTGGGCAAGGTCGATTTTTTGACCAAAATCGACCTTGCCCAGTAAAACGGCGACCTTGCCCAGTAAAACGGCGACCTTGCCCAGTAAAACGGCGACCTTCGGGGCCGAAGGTAGCATTTTTACTGGGCAGGGGGGGGGGTGTCCGAAGGTCGCCGTTTTACTGGGCAAGGTCGCCGTTTTATTGGGCAAGGTCGCCGTTTTACTGGGCAAGGTCGCCGTTTTACTGGGCAAGGTCGCTGTTTTACTGGGCAAGGTCGCCGTTTTACTGGGCAAGGTCGCCGTTTTACTGGGCAAGGTCGCCGTTTTACTGGGCAAGGTCGCTGTTTTAACTGGGCAAGGTCGCCGTTTTACTGGGCAAGGTCGCCGTTTTATTGGGCAAGGTCGCCGTTTTACTGGGCAAGGTCGCTGTTTTACTGGGCAAGGTCGCCGTTTTATTGGGCATGGGCAAAGTCGTTCTATAAGTAAAATATTTTCTTAATGTTGTGGGATTCTTTGGGCGGGTGGGTATTTGCCTGGAGTAATTCCTTGACTAGTGAATGCTTGGACTTGAGATGCTGAACCCTAAACCCTAAACCCTAAACCCCACACACGTCCAGGCCCGGGAGGAGCTGCAGGTAGCGTCCGACCACGACCTCCAGTGGCTGACGGACCTCAGCTCCGAAGGCGCCTGGGGCTTCACAGAGAGAGAGAGGGAGAGAGAGAGAGGGTTTAGGGTTTAGGGTTTAGGGTTTAATTAGGGTGTATTCAAAAGGTTTTAGGGTTTAGGGTTTAGGCTTTACGGTTTAGAGCGAGCGAGAGGGAGAGAGAGAGAGAGAGAGGCTTCGAGGACCAAGATGTTGTAGTAGGGTGCCGGTCAGGGCGAGCGTTGTTGACCTACATGCAGTTGAGGTGGAGCGCCACTTGGGGATAAACGTTTAGGGTTCAGGGTTTAGGTTTTTAAAGCAGGGAGTGGGGGACTAACACCGAGCTCAGGTGGGGGTGAAAGGGGGTGAGCAGGGACAGACCCTCTCCTGTGTGGCGAGCTTCGCCCCGGCCCACAAGACACCGGGGGCGCGCACTGCGCGGAGGCGGGGGGAGGAGACAAATTTTCGAAGCCCCACGAAGCAAAAAACGAAAGAGAGAGCTCTTTACAGTGCGAGAGCGAGAGAGAGAGAGAGAGAGAGAGAGAGAGAGAGAGAGAGAGAGAGAGAGAGAGACGGAGAGCGAGAGAGCGAGCGACACACTGAACTTAGCCTACCGATATGGGGGAGCACAGAGAGGGGGATGTCGTACAAGTACCAGGGGATACTGACTTGAAGATATTGGAACCCTCAACCCCATATGGCAGCAATGCCTGCTTCTGCCGATCAGACGCACCTTGGGACTTTGCGCGCCCTCCGGGGCAGCTCGGCTCAGAGAGCTAAGAGAGCTAGAGAGAAGCAAGGAAAAAGCGACATATTCGAATCTAAACAGAAAGGAGAGAGAGAAAGCAGAACGACGACTGGAGGGTCTAAGGAGTTCGGGGTTTAGGGTTTCAGCTGTTTCGCGCAGCCTTTGAGAATTTTTAAGGAGCTTAGCAAGGGCTTTGGGAACAGGGTTTAGCTCTGTGCGTCTGGGGAGGATGGGAGGTGAGGAGCTGGGAAATCAGAGGTTGTTACAGCAACAAAGCCGTATGGGGGGGCAAAAGCGGACAGGGCTTCGGACCTCACTGGGAAAGTCCCAACCCACATGCGCTTAAAGTCAAAGCCTGCCACCCGCTGCCCGGACTCCTGAACCCTGGACCCAGAAAACTCGGAGCCCTAAACCCTGAACACTGTCACCTGGTATGCCCTGGATCCTGAACCCTGGATCCAGAGAACCCCTAAACCCTAAACCCTAGAACCCATCTCGCCGTGCGAGGTGTTGAAAGCCTGCAGCCTTTGGAGAAGTGGGTCCCCGTCCCACAACCGGACGACAAAGCCTTCGCGCTCAGAACAGCTGGGGGTAGAAGTCTCCCTTGCAGTTCCTATCATGGGACTCGAACTTGGACCCCTAATTAAGGTTGTTGGGTTTGGGGGGCCCGTTTTAAAGGTCCTCTAAGGTTCATAGTTGGAGTGTAGGAAGGGAACCTCTTCGGGGTACATCAGAAGGGTACGAGACGCAGTCCGTTGATCCTACGTACCTCATGAACCTTGTTGTTTTTGTTTCTCATTGCTCATTTATTCTTATTATTTGGCGGTTACTGATTGTTCGGCATTAGCCGTAATGCTGCTTGTATCAAATACATGTTGGGAAACCGTTGGAAAAGGCCCCGCTTAAACCCCATAATTCATGCCTAGCCTTGTCCTACCCAGCATTTCCTTGACAAGACCCTTTTTGGAGTTGAGTCATGAGGTTCGAAAGGCCGAAACCCTAACCCGAAACCCTAAATCCTAGAGCCCAACGCACCTCACAAGTCTTGTAAACGCACTGCGGTAGTTTGTATCATAGAAACAAATGTGGTCTTAAACCACCTATGGGGTCAGAGTCTGTGCCGTTGTAATCTTGGTAGCCCAGTGGTACTCTTTACACTTTTTTTGGTTATGGGTTCCCCTATAAAATTCGCTAGCCAAAAAAGGGTTCCCTTATTTAATATTGTTACTGGGCTACCAAGTTATGGGTGTGATGATCGAATTGTGACGATGTGGTCCAGAAAGTCTTCAACATGCAGCCAGCTTTTGGCAGGAGAGCTTCAATTCCAATCAACGATCTGCAAAGCACGTGGGCGGTTTAGGGTTTAGGGGTTGGTTACGGCACCACTGCAGCAGGCATGCCTACCGACGCTACTGACCTCATGTGCTGCAGGACACACAGCAAATGTGTGCGTTTGGAGTCCGGCCCCCGCCTCCTTTCCTTCTAGACATAGCACGAGCTATCATACAGCTTAGGATGTTATTAATACTATGGCTTCGGAATATTATTTAAACATTAATACTAACTACTCTCAACATGATCACTATTATTCTAGTTCTGGGATCCTCTCCGCACTTGCTAGCTTGTGCTGCGGTCATGGCCTCCGCGACTCTGGTGCAGACGGTGGAGGCTGCGAGGCAGTCACCAGGACTTGTGCCGCTCAGCAGATACCCCTCGACCCTGAACCCTAAACCCTAAACCCTAAGCCCTAAACCCTAAAGCCTAAACCCTAAACCTAAAAGGCCCCATGAAATAGACGTAAAAAGCCCTGTGAGTCTAGGATTTCAGGGTTATGCTTGGCTTTTTATTTGAAGAGAGAGAGAGTTTAGGGTTTAGGGTTTAGGGCTTAGCATTTAGGGTTTAGGGAGGTTTTCGGGTTTGGGGTTGGGGATTTTTCGAGAGAGAGAGAGAGAGAGAGAGAAAAAAAAAAAAAAAAAAAACAAAGGGGAGTTTTGCGGTTCAGGCAATACAGCGGCGTCCTCGTGCAGATAATCTTTGTCGCTGAGTTTGGCAGATCTGCAGTGTAGGCTTCTGTGTTCAGGGCTAGTAGCCATTAGGTAACCTTTGGTATTCTACAGGGTGGGGCCCCCTTACTATACTAACTGTAGCTAAGGGACTTATAACCTAACTTAGGGTCCTTATAACCCAATTTAGGGCCCTTATAACTCTACTTATAACTAGGGGGCCCCATCCTGTAACCCCTATAAAACTCCAAGGGTTAGCCTTTCTTTCCCCCAAATTACTGGTCTACTCGGAGAGTGTCTATAGGGTTCGAAGCATTGGGAGGGCGTCTAGAGGGTACCCCTGAACCCTAAACCCTAAACCCTAAAAAGCTTGGGTCTCCAAGGAGGCAGCCTACCTCAGAGGATGCGCAGGAGGACGATTTCGCGGGTAGTGTCGGGGACGGCAGCGTGGAGGCACGACGGAAGGAGGGTTGAGTCGGCGTTGTTCAAGAGGTGATTATAGACCGACGCAGGACACCCTAAACCCTAAACCCTAAACTCTAAACCCTCAACCCTAAACCCTAATAAGGCCCTAAACTCTAAACCCTCTAAACCCTAAACCCGAAACCCCACACCCTTTTCATGACCTTTGACTTCTGCACTTTTATCTCGTGATAGCCCAGCGGTACCCTTTTCCCTTCTTTTGGTTCAGGGTTCCCTTATAAAGTAACTATCCCCAAGAAGGGTTTAGGGTTCAGGGTTTAGGGTTTAGGGTTTAGGGATTATGGGCGAAACGGAGGTGAGCGACAACTTGGACTCGCTCCGCATGGAAGCCTTCGAGATCAGCCCCTTGGGGCAGAGCTTAGGGTTTAGGGCTTAGGGCTTAGGGTTTAGAGCTTAGGGCTTAGGGCTTAGGGTTTAGGGTTTGGGGTTTAGGGTTTTAGGGTTTGGGGTTTGGGGTTTAGGTCCATGTACCTGTATAGTATATAGTTGGAGCCCCAAAATGCTACTACATAGGAACCCCTCCAAGGGCCCAAGCTTATGTGCCACTTAGGTACCATGGACCCTACAGGTGAGGTTGTGTAGGTTCAGGGGCTTTTGGGGCTTGGGTTTTATCTTAAGCGTTAATCTACTACTTGCTTAAGAACCCCCCCCCCCAAAAAAAAAAAAAACTCGCAGATATTTTCCCTTGTAATATAGGGCCATATAGGAGTGTATTTCTTGGGGTGGGTTTCTTAGTTACGGGCATGCCAGGTTATTGCAGCGGTAGTAGCGTGTGCAAGTTAAAGCTCGCCAACCGCTGAGCAGCGAGTTGATCATCCATTTGGTCTGTTTTAGGGTTTAGGGTTTAGGGTTTATTATAGGGTTTAGGGTTTAGGGTTTAGGGTTTAGGGTTTCGTTTCCAGAGAGTCCTTTGTAGTAACGTTATGGAACTCGGTGTTCTGAAGGCATCCTGGCATGTGGGTACATGGAAGCCATACTGAATATGGGTTTCTGGTACCCTCTCCCATCCCGACACCCGATAAACCCTCGCCCTCAACCCGTTCAAGACCCTAAACCCTAAACCCTAAACCCTAAACCCTAAACCCTAAACCCTAAGATGATGAACCTTTTCTGGCGTTCGGGTGTGACGAGCCCGCGGCACGCCCTTGCAAGCCTCGGTTCCTCAATCGGCTCTTCCTACAGGGTGGGGCCCCCTTACTATACTAACTGTAGTTAAGGGACTTATAACCTAACTTAGGGTCCTTATAACCCAATTTAGGGCCCTTATAACTCTACTTATAACTAGGGGGCCCCACCCTGTAAGGTTCAGGTACAAGGGCTTCGGGTCTAATAGGCCTACCATCTGCCCTGCTTTCCTCTGTTGCTTCTTGTTTTGGGAGGGAATGGGGGGGGGGGGGTTGGGGTGGGAGAAGGGGGAACCCTCAGAAAAATCCTGCCTGATTTTTTAGGTCCACCTCTGGCTTCGTTATTCCCTTAGTAGCTGAATGAGTACACCTTAGACTTTTTGAGACACTCTAATCCCTGAACTCGGCAAGTAAACCCTAAACCCTACACCCTACACCCTACACCCTAAACCCTAAACCCTAAACCCTAAACCCTCAACCCTCCCAGGCGATGCCCTCTCACAGGAGGCCATCTCGGAGATGCGCAGCTTTAACTTCTGTCGTTCCCTGGTAGTAGAGTGGGTGATCTTGAACCTTTATGGGGTTTAGGGTTGAGGGTTTAGAGTTTAGGGTACAGGTCGCGCTTTAACGTTGTTGGGGGTAGTAGATTCCCCCTATAATCGCAAAGGTTAGCCTTTAGGTTCCCCAGGTTACTGGACAGCTAAGGTTCTGCGCGGAAGTCAATTCTCTTGAGTCTTGGCGTCTCGGAGGGCGCGGGGGCATCGCCTGAGATGACACATGACATCCTGCGGCCTTACTCCAAGGCCCCTGAGGGACTGGGTTTTGGGTTCAGGGTTTAGGGTTTAGGGTTTAGGGTTTAGGGTTTAGGGTTTAGGTAACCTTTAACCTTTTTTGGGGGTTGTATAGAATCGTACTATACATAACAGGCTGGCCCTGTTTTGGGCTAGGGTGGTCAGCTCCCAAGGCCCCTGACCACGCATGTGTGAACTCCTACATGGCAGTACTTCTTGGTGCCGGTACATTTCGCCTGTCGCGCGCGATATCGAGACTTTGTCATACTTGGGTAACATTTTACATCGTTTAAGGGTACTTAAAAAAACTCATAAGGAATATATATATATATATATATGTATATATATATATTGATTATTTTCCCAACAATGAACAAGGAGATGCGGATGGTTGGTGGGCTTTGGCGCCCTGTTCTCCCTGAGCCTCTTTCACATCTTCATCTGCCTCCGGCTGGTCGAAGTGCCGCGGCTGATCCAGCGTGACGCTTGCTTCTCAAGAGCTGAACTTTATAAACTTTTTTGGCTTCCTTATTTTAAACCCTAAACCCTAAACCCTATGGTTATTGCAGAACTAAGGACGTGCCCAACGCCACCTTCCTCGGTAAGGTCTTCCTCCGCCCTCGGAGCTACTTCGTGCTCGCCGTCCTATCCATGCTGAGCTGGTATGGTGCCTGCGCAATTCAGCTGCAGAATGTCTTCGTGAACGTCCTCAGTGTGGCTTGGTAGTCCAGTGGTGCCCCTTCCCCTTTTATTTGCTTCTGGGCACCCTAAACCCTAAACCCTAAACCCTAAACCCTAAACCCTAAACCCTAAACCCGAATACAGGAACCAACCCCAAAAAGGGTGCCCTTATTAAAGTGTGGTTGCTGGGCTTCTAAGATCAAGGGACTCAAGGAGGGACCCCTATAAAGCACAAGCACCTTAAGGGTTATTTAGGGTTTAGGGTTTAGGGTTTAGGGTTTAGGGTTATTTAGGGGCCTACCTAGACATCTAGGGGGCCGTATAAGGTATATTCTGCTTCGAAAGAACCTTATATACGGGTTGTTTAGGGCCTAGTTAGGTACAACAGGGGGCCATACAAGGTACATTCTATGGTTACTGGGCTACCCTAAACCCTAAACCCTAAACCCTAAACCCTACTAAGGTGGTCACGATGGACATGATTCAACATGCAGACGACTGGGAGCAGCTCGACACGCCATTCGGATGGAAGAGTCTTGGTCATGACACAGACCTTAAATGTTCCCCCTTATGAATTTAGGGTTTCGGGTTTAGGGTTGGGATGTTCCCCCTTATACTTGCAGTCCTTCATAGGGATTATACTAGGGGGGGGAGTACTATAATCCCTATCAAGGACTGTTAGTGTACAGACTTAAAAAGCTTAGTCTATGGCCCATTGGTTACGAAGTACCTGGGACGCTGTTTACCTGCTTTGAAGGGTTATGCCTACTCTACTAAATCGGTCTTACTACTAATCTGCAGGCAAATGGAGTTTCAGGTATGGCTGTAAGCCCTTAACTTAAACAGATCATCTCGTCCGCCGAGGATCGTGGGCACCATTTTGATGGCCATCGCCATCGTGCCGCTGTCTTTAAAGACCAGTGCTAAGGACCTTCAGACCAAGGCCTCCTACGCGGTCTACTCCATGTGGCTTGGTAGCCCAGTGGTACCCTTTACCCTTTTTTTTTGGGTTATGGGTTCCCTTATAAAATCACCAACCCCTAAAAAGGGTGCCCTTATTTATGATATGGTTGCTGGGCTACTAAGGTTGGCAATTGGCCTGATTGAGATGGCCTGCGCCTTCAGCCATGGCATTGCCACATGGTTCTCTGATCAGCCCAACAACTACTGCATGGTGGGGAAGCGGATCCCGGAGGGCCTATTCGATATGGGTATGGCCTTTGGAGGTATTGCCATTTTGCCCTACGTGCTGGCTGATATGCTGAACCCTCGCAATGCCAAGAAAGTGGTGGTCAAGGCAACTACGAGGATCATGCTCTTCTACTTGTCTGTGGCGATGATCGGCTATTTTGGATGGGCAGACACCATCGAGAAACGTGCACCGCTGCAGGTTATGATGCAGAAGGGGTTTTGGTACCAGAATGCTGCGCGCATCATCAGCGCACTCTTTGTGCTGAAGAATCTTGGCAAGTAACCCTAAACCCTGAACCCTAGAGGCCCCAAAGCCGAAACCCTAACCCCTAAACCCTATACCCTTTAGACCCAGAAGCCAAACCCCTAATGCGCCAGCTTCGATGTACACCGCGCAACCCTACCGCAAGGGGAGGGGGGGTTAGCCTTGCAGCCTTACTGTACGGTTTAGGGTTTAGGTTTCATGGAGGACTTGGAGTTCGTCGGGCTTGTCAGGCTTGGGGGTTTTTATAGGGTTGGCAGGGCGCATGCGCCTAGGACCCATGGAACTATGGATGTACTTGGAGGTCTAAGAGGGTTAGAAGTAAGGGAACCTATGGTTTTAACCTTGTATAGGGTACTTCTAACCCTAGTTATACGCAACCATGAACCCTAACCCCCTAAACCCTACCCTAAACCGCACAAAACCCTAATCCCTAAACCCTAAGCCCTAAACCCTAAACCCTAAACTCTAAACCCTAACCCGCAACAAGCAGAGGGCTCAGAACCCCAGCCCAAGGACCGTCACCACTTTTCCGCTGACCTTCTGGCCTCTCTATCGCGAGCCCAGGTTGTTTATGGAGTGTTAGGGTTTAGCGTTTAGGATTTAGGGTTTCGGGTTTGAATATTCATATTCATCGTGGCGGTGATGCTACCTTCTAGATACACTGCGGGTCTTGATATTACTAACCGTACCAACTGTAGTGCAATAATTAAGGTTTAGGGTTTGGCACTTGGTGGCATATGTCGCTGCTGCTTGTGTTCCCCAAGAGCACCCGAGGAGTTCGAAGCCTTGATCCAGCTGGACGACTCGCCAGGCTTAGGGTTTAGGGTTTAGGGTTTAGGGTTTAGGGTTTAGGGTTTAGGGTTTAGGGTTTAGGGTTTAGGGTTTAGGGTTTAGGGTTGGGGTTTATCTTCGGGTAGTTACATGGTCCCTTTCCATCGTCGCTTAAGTGGCGGCCCCGTATGTACCCCGGCCCCTTACATACCCTGTGTATGCCCCTTATATACCCTAGAACACCCAAGGGCCCCTACTTCAGAACCCTTTAGGGTTCAGGGTTTAGGGTTTAGGGTTTAGGGTTCAGGGTTTAGGGTTTAGGGTTCAGGGTTTAGGGTTAGGGTTTAGGGTTTGGGGTTTGTAAGGGACCGTATTCAGGGCCCATGAAACTACTCTTCGAGTTTTGGAGTTTTGGGCTTTTGTGGCTTAGGTTTTCGGGCCGGCTTCCCAGCGGAACAGAATCAGAGGTTGGGTTTAGGGTTTAGGGTTTAGGGCTTAGGGTATAGGATTTAGGGTTTGGGCTTCGGGGTTTAGGGTTGAGGGTTTAAGGTTTAAGGTTTAGTGTTCGGGTGGGTTGCATTTTCTTTGCCCCGCAAGCTGCAAAAGTTTGTCGAGGTTTCGAAGTTGGGGGGGGGGGGGGAGGGGGGGGCGTATAGGAACCCTACTTGAAGGTTCATGGGTGCTCATAAGTGGTAGCTGTGGCTATTGCCTTATTGAGGGTGCTTATAAGCCGACTTCCAAGTACCCATGAACTCTCAAGCAAGCCCTAACTACGGCTGAAACCATCGTTACCCTACTTACAACCATGCTTATCAGTACCAACCCTCCTCATGAGTACCCATAACCTGCAAGTAAGGCTTATGCCCTAAACCCCAAACCCTAAACTACAAACCCTAAACTTTAAACCCTAAACCCTAAACCCCAAACGCTAAACCCCAAACCCCAAAGCCCTGCAGGTTTACAACTACAGCTTGCCTGGGCCATGCGCAGACAGCAGCTGCTGAAGGTCGCCACAAAAATTCTGCTGGTCACCGCCTGCCTGTCCATCATGCTGATGTCCCAGGAGGGTTTAGGGTTTAGGGTTTAGGACTAGGTACGACCTTGGGGTTGAGGGTTTAGGGTTTCGGGTTTGTAGCCCAAAACCCTAAACCCTAAGCTCCCCCCCGCCTTGGGGTTGATGAGAATTTGGGCAATGAGAATCTTTTGGTTTTAAGACTCCAGCCCAGGAGACGAAGCGCACATGTTTGGCCATTTTTCTCGGCTTGCCCTTGAATGTGGGCCAGTTTGTCTTTCCTGCTTGTGTTGGGTGCCTGGCCATACGCCTCCACAAGAAGATCCTGAAGATGAGAAACGAAGCACATGAGCCCGGGAGCGTCAGCGAAGTCAAGTATCTGTGTAACAGCTTGGAGGTTCATTCTGCAGCTGCTCTACTTTTCCAACAGAGGAGCGTTTTCACTTTTGGTGGTTTCCTTATTTTGCAGGAATAAGAAACTTTAATCTTTGTTCAGGAAAAAGCAACTTAAATCTTTGTTGAGGAAGAACCCTAAACCCTACACCCCAAACCCTAAAACCCTCAACCCCTGCTGAGCGGTTCGTCCTGCTATGCGGGTGCCAAATCCTAAACCTGCAAATTCCTGAGAAACAGCTAATTTTTTTTGCTAGGGTTCCAGGTTCAGTAAACCCTAAACCCTAGACCCCAGACCCTAAACCCTAAACCCTAAGGCTGTCCATGCGGCTGCGGCATTGATTATTCTGCTTGGCATCGCTTGGTTCACTGGTACGGTGGTCCAGCTCGCGACCCCGAAGCCCTAGAAGCCCGAACGCCCTGAACGCGGTTGAGGGTTTCATAAGTGTTTAGGGATTAGGGTTTAGGGTTAGGGTTTAGGGTTTAGGGTTTAGGGTTTAGGGTTTAGGGTTTAGGGGGTTTAGGGTTTAGGGTTTAGGGTTTAGGGTTTAGGTTTTAGGGTAACCCTAACCCCTAAACCCTAAACCCTAAACCCTAAACCCTAAACCCTAAACCCTAAACCCTAAACCCTAAACCCTAAACCCTAAACCCTAAACCCTAAACCCTAAACCTTAAACCTAACCCTAAACCCTAAACCCTAAACCCTGAACCCGAGAGGGCCCCACAGGCGGGCCAAAGTGCATCCCAAGCTCGGCTGCCTTTGCGAAAACCTCCGCTTGAACAAGTTTAGGGTTTAGGGTTTGGGGTTTAGGGTTTAGGGTTTAGGGTTTGGGGCCTTGGGGTTTGGGGTTTAGGGTTTAGGGTTTAGGGTTTGGGAGGAGAGGCTCAGGGTTTAATGGTTGAGAGAGGGGGTTCAGGGTATAGGTTTTAGTTTACGGGGTTTTTGGTTTAAAGGCTTAGGGGCTCTGGGCGTTCTAGGGGGTTGCAGGAGGGTTTTAGGGTTTAGGGGGTGGTAGGGTCGCTGTAGGGTTTTGGATGGGCGGTTTTTCATGGTTTAGGGCATAACCCCCTCCACCCCCCTTCAGAACTGCAGGCGGCTAGGGACCCAAAGCATTTTCACTTGATCACCGCCGTGTACTTTGCGTGCCTCCTCTATATCCCAAAGTTAGGCACTGAAGGTGTACCCTAGACCCTAAACCCTAAACCCTAAACCCTAAGACGCTAAACCCTAAACACCTTGCGCACCACCCCCTCCGGCCTCCAAAGCCCCAGCGAAATCCCAAGTCCCAACACCAGAAAGTTACCCTGAAGCCCTAAATCGGCAAATCCCCAAGCCCTGCATCTTGGGATGTTTCCCCCTGATACTAACAGTCCTTAAGAGGGAGTTGTAGAACCCCCTTAGTAAAACTCCCTATGAAGGATTGTTAGTAGAAGGGGGAACATCCGACCTACATCCCAAAAACCTAAACTTAGGAAACGCCTCCTTAAACCCTAAACCCTAAACCCTAAGCCCTAAACCCTAAACCCTAAACCCTAAACCCTAAACCCTAAACCCTAAACCGTGTGTGACGGCCGTGAGTTCCCAAGTCTGGCAACTTCCCGATGCAAACAACCCGACAGGCTGAACTGAGGACATCCGAAACTAGGGGTTTTTAGGGTTTAGAGTTTAGGGTTTAGGGTTTTTAGGGTTTAGGGTTTAGAGTTAGGGTTTGTAGGGTTTAAGGGGTTCATGGGGTTTACAGGGCTTGTAGGGCCTAAGGGCTTATAGGTTCTAGAAGGCTTCGGGATGATAATGCTGTGGGAGTACGTAAGGGAGTCCCCGATCTTGGTTTAAGGTTTAGGGTTTAGGGTTTAGGGTTTAGGGTGTAGGGTTTTGGGTTTAGGGTTTAGGGTTAGGGTCAACTGCTCAGTTCTTACTTCTGGCGTCTCCTCGTACTCTTGAACGCTCCGCAGAACCCTTGCTCCCCATGTCAAGGGTTGAGGTTTAGGGGTTGAGGGTTTAGGGTTTAAGGTTTTAGGCTTTAAGGGTCTAGGGTCTAGGGTCTAGGGTCTAGGGTTTAGGGTTTAGGGTTTAGGTTTTATAGCATCCACACTCGAAACCCTAGACCCTAAACCGACTGGCTCTGGAAACCATCACAGGAGCGAACATGAGCGATCACTGCTTCAGTCACAGTGGAGGATTTTTGCTTAAGGCTTTGGGTTGAGGGTTTACGGTTTAGGGCTTAGGGTTTAGGACAAAGGTTTACGGGTTTAGGGCGCAAAAGGAATTAGGGATCAGGGATTAGGGCTTAGGGTTTAGGCTTTGGTGTCGGAGAAAAGGCCCGCGGGCAGGTGAAGTAACAATTTGGAGCTTAAGCGCTCACAGACACTAAAAAACCAGGCAGGCCCATGAATGTCAAAGGATTAAGGCTCGTAGCCCTAAGGTTAGATAGACCCCTAAAGGTTCCCCTCAATAAAACCCTAATGTAGCCCCTTGTAGCCCTTGTACTGCGTTAAGGATCTTCAAAAAAGGTACCCCAAGAGGATGAGGGTTTAGGGCTCATAGATTACCTTAAACCCCAAACCCTGAACCCTGAACCTTCAAGAAGTACCTAAGCCCTGAACCTCTGAATAGACCAGTATAGGGTGCTTTTGGGGCTGCGGGTTTAGGGTAAGCCCTCGATCGTCCGAACAAATCGGAACGTTGTGTCCCATGCGCAAGGAAGACACGCGCAAGTCGAGAAGTGTAACAGTCCCAAAACCCTCAACCCTAAACCCTAAACCCTCAACCCTAAACCCTAAACCCTATACCTACTATACCCTATATCCCTAAACCCTAAACGAAAAGCCCCAATAATGCACCCATGGGAACCCGGAAAGCCCTCCTCAAATCTCAACCCGGATAAACTCAGCCAGCTCCGGGGTCTGATCCCGGAAACTGGAGCGGGTCTTCAGAGTGGTGGCGGTTCCGTTAGGGTTTAGGGTTTAGGGTTTAGGGTTTAGGGTTTAGGGTTTAGGGTTTAGGGTTTAGGGTTTAGGGTTTAGGGTTTAGGGTTTAGGGTTTAGGGTTTAGGGTTTAGGGTTTAGGGTTTAGGGTTTAGGGTTTAGGGTTTATAGAAATTGTATAGGGTTTGGGTCCCAATAACGTTTTGACCGAAACGTTTTGACCGGGTTTCGACCGGTTTTTTTTTGGAAATTACATTTATTTTTGGGGCTGGGGCCGGGGCCGGGCTGGCGGGGCTGGGGATGGGGGCTGGGCTGGGGCTGGGGCTGGGGCTGGGGCTGGGGCTGGGGCTGGGGCTGGGGCTGGGGCTGGGGGGGGCTGGGCTGGGGCTGGGGCTGGGGCTGGGGCTGGGGCTGGGGCTGGGGCTGGGGCTGGGGCTGGGGCTGGGGCTGGGGCTGGGGCTGGGGCTGGGGCTGGGGCTGGGGCTGGGGCTGGGGCTGGGGCTGGGGGCTGGGGCTGGGGGCTGCGGCTGGGGCTGGTGGGGTGGCTGGGGCCAAACCTGGGGCTGGGGCTGGGGCTGGGGCTAAGGCTACCTGGGGCTGGGCTGGGGCTGGGGGCTGGGGCTGGGGCTCTGGGGGGGGTTTACTCAAACTTCAGTGGAGCAAATTTTGGGCTTTGGGGAGGCAATTTGGGCTTTGGGAGCCAATTTTCGGCTTTGGAAGCCAATAAGTTGGGAGCCAATTTTGGGCTTTGGGCTTTGGGAGCTAATTTGGGCATTGGGAGCCAGTTCTGGGCTTTGGGAGCGAGTTTTCGGCTTGGGAAGCCAATTTTGGGCTTTGGGAAGTTATTGGAAGTTTTGGAAGCCATTTTAGGTTTTGGGAGGCTTTGGGCTTTGGTTTGCCGGGACCGGGAAGGCCCCAGAGGTTTAAGTAAACTGAACATTTGGTTTCACTTTGGATTAATTTACTTAAACTCTGTTTGTCAGCTGTTTAGACAAATATCTTGGAAAATTCAGAATGATACCACATACAATTTCTATTAAGTGCTGCTGCTGAAGTCGTTCTGTCACTCATGCAGGCAGGCATTATGAAAAGCGAAGTAGAATGCTTCTGAAGAAGCTAGGACTTGCCGCAGGCTGAGTCGCGAACTTGGACAGCTTTGGTCCGAGGACTTCGGCAATCGCAACTGTAAGCCGTCAAAAATCACTGCATTGTTTGGCGACGAAACGAGTAACACGGCATGCAAGAAATTCAACACTTTACTCTTGCAGTGCTTTACAGCAACGTGGCTTGTTCAATACAATTTTAATCCCTTCTCCTCAATATTAAAGCTGCCCCCCCCTCCCTCCCCCCTGTAATAATAAGACCCCTCCAAACCCCCAAAGGGTTTTTGTGTATTACGAGGGGTTCTCATCGTTTGTCCAAACAAACAGCTCGTCCTTATTGTAGCTGGCCGGGAAACCCTAAGCCCGCAGCAGGGCATTCAGAGTGAGGGTTCATGTTTCTGCTTCAGGCTTCCACCCTCCTCCTAACCCCCACCTAGTTCAGTCGAGGTTTGAATGGGGGCGGGTACGGGATCGGGTTTTGGCGCCAAGGTTTTTTAAAGTATTAGGGCTGATTTAATATCAGGGGGAAGGGATTAACCTGGATGGCTTTGGTTAGGTGCGCGTTGGCCGTCAGAGCTGGAGGCGGTGGCTGCTCGAGAAAACGGGCATGTGGTCTATGCCAGCAAGCCGTTGACAGAGTCCCCTTCCGCACGCCTGCTTGCCAATGGCACAAGCAATTACGAGAAGTTCTACGCTCGTCTACAGTTGCTGCTCACACCCACTGCCAGCACAACCTGTTGGTTGAGCGACCATGCCATCGAGTATTTGGGGGAGCGCGAGAGTATAAACGAGGCTGGGTATCCGTTTTCTCCCGGTTCTCGCAACAGAGTGGCAGATAGTCAAGCTGGTTAGGCTGGTGTGGATTACCGAGCTGGGCAGGTGGGCTTCGCAAGTAGTTGAACGACAGACAGACACATACATTGGCAGTTTGCAATGCCACTGTGGTTTCATGCTTCACAAGATGTGACACAATCAGTCAGGCAGAGATCGGTCCGGAATGTGCATTCGACTGTGGCTTCTGGAGTCGAGATGAAGTGCAGTGGCAGGAGGCTTTTTCTTTTTGTGTGTCAGTTTTGTACTTACATTTACGCCTGATCGAGAGCATTGAGGCTGTTTGCATAGCTTTGGACGTAGCAGTTCCGTGTCCTTATCTCACTCGGAACTCATGCTTGTCGACTCGTCACTGCCGACGAGCAGGATGATGGTGTCTATATATACCCATCCAAGCAATTCCGGGGCTTTTTGCCGAAGCTTGCGGGGAAGGTGAAAGTGTTGGTGCAGTGCTCAGTGTTCTGTGTATCATGTACATCCGCGCACTACCAATTGATAGAATGTTTTGGTTCACGGTCAGGTCAAGGGCATGTTGCAGCTCAACCCTA